TATTATTACACAGCGATTCATTACGATCGAGATGTAGAGTGAATTCTGCCGAGTTGTTTGCTCTCGTCCCCCAGGGAGGCTGCTTGGAACGAAAGCCCTCCTATTGATTTAATATTTATGACAGTTTATTAAATGCTACACAGGATTTCTATGCGATAATATCAAACTCGATTTATTACTTCAAGGTTTTCGGTATTGATATCTTTAACATAAATTAAATTTTAAATAATTCATATTATTTAATAAGTTAAATAATATGAATTATTTAAAATTTAATATATAATTAATGGTATTCAATAAATAATTAAAAGTAACGAATCTATGTAAAGAAACACATCAAATACATTAAACTATGCTCTCAATTCCAAGATTTATTTATTTTTAAAATTACGAAATGCATATAACTAGAATAATGACAGAACACAGAAAGAGGTTAGACGGGTGATCTCATAGACCGTTTGTACGGAAACCGATCACCACGCCTTGCCTCCACTACACTTCCACCTAATAGATATTAACCAACCAAACGACGCGACATCAAAAAATAGAACCAATCAGCGCTCACATCCGAAAGCAACGACACAATCAGAACCAAGTTTAGGTCAAGTTATGAGTATTTGCTCACAAATAACTGTGGCGCGCCTGCCCCGCTCTTCTAAACTCTTTCTGTGTTTTGTAAAAATAATGAATTTGATTGTTATAGGATGAAGAAGACAGTGTTAATAAATAATTATGTGACGAATGAGTCTTTGAAAACAAAAACCATACGATAAAAGTGAAATTTTTAAAATCATTTATACAAAAAAGTCCTTCCTTGGGTGGGGTTCGAACCCGGGTCACCCGCGTAAGATGCGAGCTTTCCGCCACTGAACCACAAATGCTTGTTAATAAGGTCTAAATATTTTTTAACAATTATAAATTTAATACAACATGCTAAAGATGACCGAGAAAAAATCCTGTGGCAATATAATAAAAGTTTCACTTTAAAAATAAATGATAAGATGACAGCCAATAATGAAAAATAGAAGGGGAATATGTTTTCCCTGCAACCAAAAACACTACACTAAATTGGACCAGAACAATATGTGATAGAGAAATAATCCAAATTAAAATTTTACAATTAGTCTGATGATGGTGTCAGAATCCAATAATATAAAATAAACAATGTTATTATGCTAATGCGTCGTTTATAGTATAAAAACAGGGTGTGTATCTGTGATCCCTGGTTGATTTCGTATTCCGTATGAGGCGACATGTCATGTGCGCGCGCGTCGGATTATCGTGTCAAGTGGGGATTAGCTCCTGTATACGTTACTGTATGAGCTGTAATAATAAAAACAAAAGAAAAACACTTTATTTTTAATGAAGGTAATCTGTGATCGGTACTGAATGCAGTTAAAGAGCGAACAATCTTTTTTGGGACAAATTTCAAAACCTATGATTTCCATTTTGTACGTTCATCGATTTAAACACTGGTTCAGAAACTAACAAGAAAAACTTATAGGATATGTCAAAATGGAGAATATTAATTTTTAGTAAGGCATCTGATGTGCTTTATAGATAATCACCGATTAATTGTACCTACCATCCTTTGGACTTCCAAACACCACAAGTTATTTCTCATAAGCATTCCCACAACATATGGATACCGTATACGAAGATAACCAACAAAATTTCCACCATTGGACATTTTAATGAAATGACAACGCAAACAGAGCCGTTTACCCGAATCTCTGTGATCGTTTAGCGGTATTTAATCTGCAAGATGTCCCCAATGTTTGCGGCAAACAGAGCCGGCGTGCGCTCGTTAAAACCTCACGCTTGGCGTACCACGTAATTTGTCATCTTTTTTCTATGTATCGCGAATGTTAGTATATCAGGTATACATTTTAGAAGAACTGAAATACAAGTCCAGTGAATTGCACTAGTCATAATCTGATAAAGTTCAGTGAAAGTAGAGTCCATCATTAATGGTGCAAGGATACTGAAAAATCTGTCTTGGTAACCATTCTATCAAAATAAAAGTAAAAAAATACGATGTTCTAAATATATCTGTAACTGTAATATGAATATCTTATAATATTCAATATTAAATTAGCGGTAACGAAGCGATAACAGTATTGACGTATTCATCAGAACTGCCTTCCAAATTGTGGAGTTACAACGGATCCAATTAGTTCTTATTCAAATATAATTAATTGGGAGGGTAATTGACTTTGAGCGGCGTTGAGTTAAAGCCGCTGGATACGTTATGGAAGGCTTAAATATTCGGTAACACGTTGGGCGCCAACTAAATTATGACGACTTACTAAAGCGCATTGAATTCTGACAAAGCCTAATATCTACTCTAATTCTTTTGGAAATTACATCAAGCAAAAGATTTATTAGCACTAATTGATTAAGAATAAACATTACAGATAAACATATTTTTTTCGAGGGTAGTATAAAATTTTATTTTATTTTCCGTTCCAGTATGAAATTTAACGTTGTGTTGTATTAAAGTTGTACGTGCTGTCTGTGCGCTGAGCTAATTAGCGACCACTCGCCGATTCACAAACAGTTCGGCCCGCAGAATAACTCAGCGTTTCATTAGCAATTACCTTCAAAATTGATGATTTAACGGATGGATTAATTAATCTGGCTTCATTTTATACTTAGAATAGATTCGGTATGATCAAAAACTTAATTCGTCATTCATTTTGAATCGTTGGGAGTATTTCTATGCATACTTTTGCGTTTTTGGGGCTTGGTTATTATAAGCATCGATTATAGAATGAAACTCAAGATATATTATTGAATACTTCATCTGTTGTTTTATGGTCGATGTTTCTCTATTGTATGTACGTTTATGTGTATTTAGTTCAACAGCAATATTATTATACTCTATAATTTGTAATTCATAGAAAAAATGCTTCCATTCAGTGGCAGTGGCATGGGAAGATAATGTTTCTCCTTGCCACATTATAACTAAGTCACTGAGGTAAATATCGTTGTCTACCGAACCTCACAATTGGGAAACAACACTAATCCCTTAAAAAAAACAGAATCCTACATAAATCACACCAACACCTGTTCAAAGTTCGCGCTAAATATTAGATTGAACAATCAGTGCAGCGGCGTGCCCAGTCTGACGTGAATTATGCAGCGTTATCCAGATTGAAGCAAACTAAACAGCCGGTGCCGCGAGCAGCCAGCTAACAGCGTTAATGATCTGCAAATCTTAATTGTGCAAGCGCTGCCTAGAGTTATGACAACTAGAGATTGTTTGAACGCGCCCCACTAATTACCACTGACAGCTACAGTTCTCTGGAAAGTTTAACCAATGTTGGGATACCTAAATTCAGATTTGGTATGAGAACTTCAACGAAATCAGGGGTACCTAAGCAATGATCTTTTTGATTTCAATCGTTATGGTCCTGTCAGTAGAAGATGTTAGGTTATGGCCTCTTTCGAAGTTGGACATGGATTAGGTTCTTTCGCTTTCTACGGATTGAAAACTTTCTGAAAATATGAGTGCTTCTATAGTTTAAATATATTATTGGTTATATTTTCTGTAATTGTTTACAAATCCATATATTGGGGGCGGAGCAGGCCGGCATGGTGAGGATGGATGGAGCGGCACATCTGCCGCATCATCTAACATCGCGACTGAACTCCAGTTACATTTAACATCAGGTGGAGTGGGATACCCCGGCTAGATCGGGAGGCTTTGGGTGCGGAGACGCGGCAGAATCCCTAAACGGGGATCCTGCGGTTTCGCACTTAGCAGCTTAGAGGGTATTTGCAGGGATTTTTAGCGGATATAATGCCGTAAAGCGTCCGTAAGATTTACGGGTCCTCAGTGGGCAGCCACTGCGGAGGTCTGTAAGGCTTGCGGGAGCCAGGTGTGAGGTTCGTTCGGCGGTGTGCCTCTTTTAGGCGCCGTCGTCTGTAAATAAAGGTTTTGCCTGCGTCACAAAAAAAAGGATGAGAGGGGTAATTTGCTCGCCTCATATACAAGAAAAATCTTAAGCCAGGTTTTGTTCCATAACATCATTAATAGAACAACGCACATTAATCCAGATTCAGCTAGCGTCATTGATATGCGATCGGCTCTATTGTAAGCTGAATATGCAAACCGACTGATCCGGGGCCAGCGCGTTAATATTGCATGCCATTTCCCGCCCGCCCGGCACGTCTGATTATTCGCGAAGGTGTCAATCTGCGTTTGTGTACCCACGTAAATAGAAATCAGTTGTTAGTTAACTAAGAAAAATACCACTAAAATTATGGAATAGAACAGGAAAACAGGAAATCCATTAAACACAGTTCCAAAATAGTAATTAAGTTATTCACGATATTGTTACCATAAACCTTGTTTTTAGCGAATTTCCGATATTTCGGCACTGTTGCAGACCACAGAGTAACTCAGTAACGATCATGGCTATATAAATGGTAACAATCCCGTAAATAACTTATATTACTATAATGTTAATGACCATGAAAGTTTAAAACAATATACAATTCTAAAAATCTTTAGGGAGAACAGTTTGTAATTAATTGTCTGTAAGATAAATATATTCTCTGGTCTAGCCAAATGACCATATTCGAAATCTCGAATCTGTATGGTCACCAATGATTTGCCATATTTAAAATGTTGTTCTTAACCGGATCAACGTAAACATAATCCGCCTTATTTCATGATGCGGATTAAAGTTAGTCTTGGTTTAATCCTAGCTGTCTCTTCTTTTTAGCAAACAAAAGTGACAGCATGAGTTTAAGTCAAGGCTTATCTTAAGCATTGTAATAAGACAGAATTTATCTACTCGTAGATGTATAAAGCCACGGTATATCCATTATAGAAAACTGTGCTACCCATAACTATGCTACACTTATTACAACAAATAGTTGTTTGCGAACTTTCAAGAAAGCTGTCCTATCCGACACGATAACGTTCCGGCACACCTTTTGATATAACAATATTTGTTTTTATCATTAATTTATTTCTTTTTCTTATACAGCGATGACGGAGCGCGTGAGCACGCCTTCGAGCGTGAGCAGTACCCCAGCCGTAACAACCACACCTACTCCACCCGTAACCACAGTCGCTGCATCCACTTGTTGCGCTGTATGTGGTGGACCAAATGCTACCAGGGCAGTCTCCAGAGCGAGAGCTACCCACTATGGTTTACAAGAAGAATCGGCAGGTGCTAGGGTGTGCGAGCCTTGTCATTGCCGATGTGTCCGGTCCCGGTATACTCGGTGTCCGGTACCTACTTGTCCTGGGCCTCGAGTCAGGGCGAAACGGTTAAGACACCTCCCGCCAAGATGGCACGATCTCAGTTTAGAATTGAAGAGGCCGCTTATGGACGAATTCCGTGAGTACACGAAGATTATACTTCATTTCTTCTTTAATTTTTCTCAATCTATTGGTTTTAGGTTCTAATCACACTTTAATTTAGCTAATGTGGTTTTGAAAAGCTGTCGAGTTTTCTTTTTGCGAATAGGTAACAAAGACCGAATAATGCATCTTAAGCTAGCCCTTTTTTTTAATCTTACTTATGTAGATAGATGGATAGATAAAACTTTATTCGCACCAACATGCAAAATTGAAGACAAATTTTACAATTATATAAATCCTTTAAAACATGAAACTAATTATATTTATACAACTATACTATGATATTTTCGTGTGCAGCAGCGATGCGAATGGGCGAAAACTCAGCGTAACATTTACTCAGAGAGTAAATCGCTGATTCAAGTCAGATATGATGCATTTAATTTATATAAAATCAAGGCCCCTAGCATGAGCAGCGCGCAGTATAATATATTTCAAATTTATATTGAAATTGTCATAAATTATAAATATACATTTAAGACAATTGATTGATACTGATTTACCGGTATAAAATAATTAGAAGTAACTAATCGTGACTTAGAAGTAATATAGCTACCGGTCTATATCATGCTCAATTGCAGAATAATATGAAGATTGATAGTTGGACATGATAAAGATACCGGTCTATATCACGTCTAAATCTAATCTTCATATTTCTGACAGTTGAGTATGATATAGACCCGTAGCTATATCACTTCTAAGTCACGATTAGTTATGAAATAGATCGTCAAATTTTTATAACTTCAAATTATTTTATACCAGTAAATCAGTATCAATCACTTGTGTTATATATTTTTTTTAATTTATCACAAAATTGGTCCTTCGAGACGGATTTTAATCACTATCCTCTCCATCTCCAACAGAGATTCCGAGTGAGTTGAGCAAATGCTGCCTAGCCTGCCTGAAGCGTATAACGCGTCGGTTAGAGACGGTGGGCGAGGGAACCACGGAACCGTCTGAGGAGGAGGTGTCCCGGTTCAGATCCTTACTGAGGGAGCATGGTACCGCGTGGGATCGAGCCGCGGCCGCCTGTGGCAGGTCGCCCGCTGCTTTGAAGGCGTTTTATTTTACATACAGGTGAGTTCTATTGTGGCAAAATAATTAAATGTAGTTTTCAGGGCCTCTGGAATAGGTTCTATTTATAAGCGCGATTGTGGGTTATTATGTTTAAATTTATGACTTTTTAGGTATTGTTTTAAGAATGAGAAGGATGAGCTTAACATATCGTCTATATAATTCTGGCAGTCATTCTATATTTTTTCATTACAATTTGATTGCGTATCATTTGTGTAGTTTGTTTTGTTACAATCAAAGAGATATTGTTTTCTTAAACATCTATCAATAACATTTTGTTAAACTAAGCTGTGTTTAGGTCTAAATTTTAACTAACACAAAAAAAAACAAAAAGTATATTTGGCTTACTTTTGCCATTTTTGTTCTGGAGAGTCGTAGCAGAGAGCTTAAAAGGCGGCCCTATTAAAAATAAACATTTCCTCAACTGGAAAAAGCACCAGTTCGAAAAGCTGTGTATTGATTGGACACGTCAGTCTGACGTCACGCTCAGATGACAGAGTTGATGATGTGTCACCATTGGTCGAGGGTCGTGTCACACGCATATGTTGTAATACTATCTCGGCTTGGCACAAGCAGGTGCTCTAATAGGGAGCAGATTTTTTCATCTTGTTTCAGTATTATTTGAATTTGTACCACCTTTGTTAAACCCATCATCTCGCCAACAGGAAAAAGCACCAGCTCGAGTCCTGCATCACGAGTAGTAGTTTAGAGCGTTCGACGCCCATTCGTTCTTCCTCCGAAGAGAGCGGTAGTTCAGGGGCGGGCGATTCGTCTAGCGGGGAGCAGGGCCCCGCGCCGCCCCCGCCCGGGCCCCGGACAGACGCGGCCGCGCCGAGAAGAGCTAGACGCGACGAATACGACTCGTCGGCGACGGAGACGGCGGATGAGGAGAGCGAGCCCAGTGCTAAGGTGAGTTGGGGCCCTTTAAGGAACTTAATTCGGATCTGGAGGTTGATTGGATGGACTTTTTTGTTTACTAGCCGCCGCCCGCGACTTTGTACGCGTGGAGTTAGTTAGCAATAAAGGTTCACTGCTCGTTCCCCGTAGGTGATAGCGTGATAATAGTAGCCTATATGTTGACCCGACTTCTTAGTAACATTCGTGTCAAATTGAAGTAAATCCATGCAGTACTTTTTGAGTTTATCCCGGACATACATACAGACACACAGACAAGATTTCTAAAAACTGTATTTTGGCTTCGGTATCGATTGTAGATCACACCCCAAGTATTCTTTAAAAGAAAAATTCATTGTACAGTTTTGACTTTCCTACCATTTTATTATATGTATAGATGAGTTTCCTTTCAACAGTTAGAGTGAAGTGAGAATGTGATATAACTTAAATATTCTCCAAGTATTTAATGATAGGGAAAGGGTAAATTCAATTCAACTTAACTCTGTCATCACCCAAATTTTAGTAATACTTAAAAGTTGATTGACGTCATTAAGTACAGCCGCCGTGAATTTGATGACTGAATAATATCAATATTTTATCCATCCAACAGATACTACCGCCCACATCGCTACCCCCAGTGAGCGTAGTATCGTCAGCACCGGCCCCTACACTCATATGTAGCTCCAGTACAGTCAGCAGCGTAGTTACCACGCCCACAGTTTCCGGCGTGGCCACAGTTACCGGCGTAACCGGCGTGACCGGCGTTACTGGCGTCGGAAATAGTACGGCGGCGTTAGTGTCAAGAAACGGCCCCGCCGGCACGCCGCTTACTGTCAGAGACGTGGTTTTAAACATGATTGAGATCAGTTTGACGAAGAATAATCAAGCCACACCGCCGCAGCCTAAGCCACATCAATTAAAAGTAAGTTGAAGCGGATTCCCAACAGTATAGTTTAGTGACCGTATTTTCCGGCAAGGCCACAGTATCCAATGCGGCCACTGTTACCGACATGGCCACCGTTTCCGGCGTGGCTAGAATTTCTGGCGTAGGCACAGTTCTCGGCGTGACTACATATTCCGGTATGGTCACAATAACCGACGTGGCCACAATTTCCGTCGTAGGCACTGTATCCGCTTTGGCTACAATTTCGGGCGTAGGCACGATTCTGGCGTGGCCACAATTACCGTTGTGACTACAACTTCCGTCGTAGGCCACAATTATCGACATGGCTACAATTTCCGGCATAGGCACAGTTTCCGGCGTGGATCAGTTACGAGTGGACACAGTTTCCGACGTGGCTACAGTTACCGACGTTATCGGTGATATTCCTGACATTAAATAATACATAATCTATTTTTTACTTAAAATAAAAGTGACTTCGATTTTAAAGCAAATGTAAAGGAAATACATTGCCTCAACAAAATAAGTTTCTTATAAATACTGTTGGATAATGCTGTGATTAGCGCGTCGGTTCTGCGATCTTGGACTTCTGCGACTTTAGCAATAAACGGCCATAGAAAGGGTAACCAACTTTTATTGTCACCGTGCTTCGGGAGGGACTTTAAGCTGTTGGTCCTGGTTCAAACTGCAGTCGTTGACAGTCTGTTAGTTAGTTTAGTCTTAAATGTATGAGTATAATTTAGCTTAAGATTGGTGTCAATTATAGCTAATATACTCTCTAAACTTAAGTACTCCGCAAAGTTGTCAAATTAAAGTTTAGGTTTAGACAATCATGCCAGACAATCAACGCTATTATTATTCTTATTTATTTTTTGCAAGTTATTGGAGAATACATCGGGACTTTTGATGTTTTTATTTTTTGGATTCTTGTTCTTATTCTAGCAACTTATCTGAGAATACAATCATCATCATCATCAGCCTATTAATGTTTCCACTGCTGGGGCACAGGCCTTCCCTATGGATGGAATAGGGAGAGGGGAGATGAAGTTAAGAATACAATATCTTTACGTATTTTTGACCTACCTTAAATTTTCAACATGTTTCTTCACCAGGTTACATCAACGTCAGGCAACAGGGAATCGCTAGCAACACTGAGCGTTGTAAACAGCACGCATAGCGCGCGAAGTTCGCCGCGGTCCCCTCAACGCCCAGCCACGATCACGCCGTTGCAGCCGTTGCAACCGTTGCAAGATGGCGTCGTCGTGCTACACATCGAGCCCCGTCCGGAACCGTTGCTTGATCTCAGCGTGAAGCGGCCGAGACATGAGTTGGCGTTCCCTCCGCCTAATAAACCGGTATGTTTCTTAAAGATTTACCACTTAAATGACCGACTAATAATTGGATGTTGTTAAATGAAAAGGATCCAACCCACAAAATTAGTTTATTATACAAAAGTACTCCTTAAGGTCAATTCTATTAAAACACGACAAAGATTTAACTAAAATACATGTGTAATATGATTTTGTATTCATATGTTACCAACTCACTTATATGACGGGTTGTTATTTTGTCGTACTTATACACAGTCTGAAATTAAAAAATCATATCTCGAAACTAAGTTTGGGTGGGTTGGATCCTTTTCATTTAACAACGTCCAATTATAAGATAGTGGTGTCGATACCGGCATGTTTTTCTAAACATAAAAGTAAATTTAACATCAGTCTCTCATTTTCATTCTCTATAAAGAAGGACAAGGATACACTGTTGTCAAATTTAAGTTTAGGATTAGAGAATCATGCCGGAATAGTCATCAGAATATATGTATATAGTGTAAAAATTTATGTCGTATGTGTATGTGTATATGTAGTCATGGATGATTAATATCTATTTCTATATAAATATACTTATATATGTACAGTATATGTATTCTATCCGTTACCCTAGCATCCCATAACACAAGCCACAAGTGCTTACTTTGGAGCTAGGTTAATTGGTGTGAGTGTTGGAAATATTTATTTATTATTTAATTAAAGACATTTCTATCAGCAATTCATTTGCAACTCAACGTCATTTTATGAAATACATTGTAATAGTAGTTTTCGCACTCAAGTCCTTTCCCAATATAATGTGTTTATGTCATTAAACTAATTGACGACCTCCGTGGCCGAGTGGTTAATACGCCGGGTTTCATGGTGTCGCCGACTCGAGAGGTCTCAGGTTCGAATCCCAGTGGGAGCAGATGTTTGTGTGATAAATACGAGCCTTTGTACTCCAGTGATGGATGTTTAATATGTATTTCTATATAAAATAAATATACTTATAGAGTCTGTGCGGAATGAGAATGGGCGTGGTGAAAAACGGAACTAACATGAAGATTTTTATTTGGCAATCAAACCCAGCTATCTGTAAAACGTCAAAGTTTTGTATTGATACTGATTTGTTTGTTGTTGTGATTTCTTGCGATTTTTTGTATTTAATCGTGTCTAAAAGGGGTAAAACCTTACAAATACGGTAGAAAAGCACTACAGCGCCCTCCAATCTAAATCCCATTCTCTTTCCGCACAGTCTCTATATGTACAGTATATGTATTCTATCCGTTACCCTAGTATCCAATATCACAAGCCTTATAGTGCTTACTTTGGGGCTAGGCTAATTGGTGTAAGTGATGGTTTTTTTTCATTTTAAATTACATAAAACTATTTGCCTTCCCCAGCCGTATCGAAACAACGACTATCCCCCAACACCGTACCGAACAGCCGAGAGAGAATCGCCAACCCAATACAACTCTAAACCTAAACAGACGCAACAAACGGCCGCACCTAGGCCTCAACTCAAACCGGCGGCCAACCCAAAGGGGTCCATAACGTTAGGCACTCCGGTCGAGGGTAGATTTGAGCCCAGAAGGACCCCGGAGCCTAAAGGGGGCTCCATAACGGCTGGAACTCCGGTACATCATGATAAGAGGGCGTTTGACTTCTATAAGAGGCGGAGTCCTAGCGGACCGTATTACACTGGAGCCCCGCCCCAACAGAGACCGCATTCGCCTAACTATTCACCTGTAAGTAACTCACGTTTCACATTTCAACTTTAATATAAGATTGTTAAGTTTATATGCTATTAAAATACAGTTGTTCAGTTACCTATATTTATTATGAATTGCAGTCGTGTAATTCTAAAATTATGCTATTCCGGTCGGATGATCTATGATTGTTTTATTGACTTTAAATTAATTCAGTAATTTGATGGCTGCTTTAGATTTTAAACTTTAAATTTCATGAAGCATCTCAGATTGTCTTTTCGATTTTCCATTTATTATATATACGTTTTTGCGATCTGAAACTTATATAAAATCTTACCTTTAAAATTCCAGTTGTGTCACTGGAAGAGAGTGGGTACTTTAGTCACAGGGTATTCCTATTTTAATTACCCACAGATCGTTAGTTTTAAAGCATCTTGTGCCTTTTATTTGTAAAACCATACTGTAAAAAAATCTGGGAATAAATTATTACTACTATTTAGAGTTCGATGGCGCGGGTGCTTAGCGCTTTCGGCTGCGATGGTAGAAGTTAAGCAACTTTCGCAGTGGCCGGTCATTGGATGGGTGACCAAAAATCTCTATCTCGAGTTCCTCCGTGCTTCGGAAGGCACGGTAAGCCGTTGGTCCCGGCTGCATCTGCAGTCGTTAGCACCCGCTAATCCGCACTGGGCCCGCGGGGTGGGTCATGGCCCAATCTCCCTATTCCATCCATAGGGAAGCCCTCTGCCCCAGCAGTGGGGACGGGGACATTAATAAGCTGATGATGACTATTCATAAATTTGTTTTTCACCACAGCAGCAACAAAGCACCGGCTCCGGCTACTCCCGCAGCCCGTACGGTATAGAACAACGTCAGATCATAATGGCGGACTTCATCACCTCGCAGCAGATGCACGGCGGCGCCAGAAGGGGGGTGGAAAGGGAGAACTCCCCTCCACCAGGGGCGGCTTACAGGCGGGAGCCTGTCATACAGAGATACCCGCATCAACCGCCCCCACCACCTCCCCCGCCGGGTAAGAAATGCCAAACTATATGATACTTTCTGTAGGTTATTTCATTGTAATCTTCTAGCCCAAAGTATGGCGAGAGGTGACTCCCCCTATGAAACCTTCGATAGAAACATAAAACGGTCTTCTAGGTATGTTACTTAATTGTGATCCTACACACGCCAGCCGGTTATACAGAGATACCCGCAACAACCACCCCCACCGGGTAAGTTGTCACCGTCTACCTGTGGCCACAATTCCAACGCGTACAAAGAAATTTGGTGACTCATTTCTTTGTCGCACTATCCGTAAATGGAATGCTCTGACCGCTCACGTGTTCCCTCCCTCTTACAACCTGGGATCCTTTAAAAGAGGCGTGGAGAAGCAACATGCAGGCCGGCAGGGTGAGGATGGCTGGTGTGGCAGGTAGAACTGCTGTATCAGCTATCTTCGCGTCTGGACTTCACCGTCACTTTACATAAGGTGGGATGGAGTCATTTTTCGGACCTATAGAAATATCTACCTATATAGAAAAAAAAGTTTGCTCCAAAAATGGGGAAGTAATCTCCTCCGGGTAATAAATACCAAACTATATGATAATGATAACTGTAGGTTATCGTATTTCATTGTAATCTTCTTTCCCAGAGTAGGGTGAGAGGCGACTCTCTATGAAACCTTCGATAGAAACATAAAACAGTCTTCTAGGTATGTTACTTAATTGTGATCTTATGGACGCGAGCGCTCATTGGCACGGATATCGAGCGCAATATCCAAAAATCAAGTGTCAATAAATTTAAAACTTAAATAAAGCCTATTATAAAGTGTCTGATTATATTTCAGACAAAAATGCTTGAAAGGTTTAAACTGTTCCAAACGTTCCGGCAGGCTTTTTCTATAATTATGATGAAGATGTAATAATTGTGTATTGACACCGTAACAATATATTTTTTTATAAATATTGTTACATAACTATTTAACGCAGTTAAGTTTTTTTCGCCAGTTTTTCACCACAGCTAAATAAATGTCTGGCGGTAGGGGAAAAAATATGGACGGTTCAAAAGAGTTGTATTTTGCATTCAATTTGAATAAAGATATTTTGACTTTTGTTAAAAATATAGATAACCCTAATAAAAGCCGCCTTCACAAGGTAATGGAAGTGATCTACCACTGTGAAAGTACCAAAGAATAATTTGTCTGTTTTGACGTTTTTTAACGGAATTATCAGGCAAGTGGGTCAGGAATCAGTTGGTTCGTTCGCACTTGGAGGTGGGCGTTGCTACTTCCTATTATCTTAGTAAATAAATATTTTTTTTACAGAATTTGTTTATTATATTTTTATTTATTTAGGATAACAAACAATTGTGCAATATTGTATGTAATGTAGTAACACTATTAAATATATTGATGTCATTACACAACCAACACCGTTATCCGATTAAAATATAACGCAACACAGAGATTATATTATTATAAAACATTATAAGTTTGTAATATCTATTTTACTTGCAAATCGATGGTATAATTTTAAAGTTACAAAACACAACTTTTAAATATTTGGTTCATCATCATCATCAGCCTATTAATGTCCCCACTGCTGGGGCACAGGCCTACCCTATGGATGGAATAGGGAGACCAGATCATAACCCACCACGCGGGCCCAATGCGGATTGGTGGGTGCTAACGACTGCAGATGCAGCCGGGACCAACGGCTTAACGTGCCTTCCGAAGCACGGAGGAGCTCGAGATAGTAAACTTTTGGTCACCCATCCAATGACCGACCACTGCGAAAGTTGCTTAACTTCAACGATCGCAGCTGAACGCGCCAACCACCTGCGCCATCGAGCTCCTCCTAAATATTTGGTTAACAATCAGTAATGGCCTTCTTACATTGAAAAAAAAGACATTGTAAACAAGTCCAAATCGAAACCAGATGTTGTCATTCAAAAAGTTCATTATTCGATGTAGGGGTGCGCGTTCACCTGCATTCGTTCTGCACTGTTTGGGGAAAAATATCTTCTATATATATAAAACTTAAAGGTGACTGACTGACATAGTGATCTATCAACGCACAGTTCAAACCACTGGACGGATCGGGCTGAAATTTGGCATCCAGGTAGATGTTATGACATAGCCATCTGCTAAGAAAGGATTTTGATCAATTCTACCCCCAAGGGGATAAAATAGGGAATGAAAGTTTGTATGAAACTTTGTCAATTTTAAACCGATTGGGCTGAGATGCAGGTATAAGAAAAATCATAGATGAATGTCATTGTGTATAATACAAGCCTGAGAACAAAAACTGTAGTCTACACTTCAGCTCTACACCGAAGCGAAGCGAGGGCAGGCCGCTAGGTTTAGCTATACAATACAATATAACGTGTTATTCATGTAAGATTTCCGTTCCCGTAGGTCACGAGGCGTTCACGTCGCTGGTAGACGTGGCATCAGCGGCGTCCGCTCTGCCGGTGCCGCGAGCGCCCGAACAGAAACCCGAACCCAAGACCTCGCACGTGCAGCACCAGCAGCACTCTGCGCACGGCCCGCAACCACACGACATCAGGTTAATTTAATACGCATTTTGAGAAACCTTTCTTCTTATCTTTTAACAGCTAAAAGGCGTTGAATGAAATATTTTTATAAAAAAAATATTTTAATTTTTTGCTAAAATTTAGTATTGGTTTGTTATAATATTGATAAAAATGCACTCGGAAATACTTTTTTGTTTTGAAATTGCCTTCCATGGATTGTGAATTGTGAATATTTTTGTCTTATTTTAATTTTCCTCTCTAGTAATAATAATACAGTTTGTTTAATTTATACATTGATAGGAACACAGTTTTTGTAAAACTGTAGCAGATTTAACAATTCATAATTTTATGTACACTTGTTCCATTATTTGAGATTCAAATTAAACGGCCCCGAAACCTGTACAAAAAAAGTAGTTTGACCAGATTAATTATACCGTTTTGATCGCCAGCTCTTCATATAATATTGGATAACTCAAAAAAGCTATCATAAGTATTTTTTTAATTTCTTATAAATTCATTGAATAAGCTTTCAATGACAAATCCTCAAAACCCGACCGCAGCACCAACTATGGAGTAACTTAAATTAAAAAAAAATGTGTGTAATTTTCTTTCGTAATGAATGAAAATCGATAAAGTCGTTATCGAGTTATGGCGGCATGATCAAGGGAAATAGATATTTAAATTTCTTTTTTGTTTATATATAATATATAGACATAAGCCTCATCCAAATCCTATCAAATTGTCTTCAATTTTGTTTTCTTTGTCCAATTCCTTGGGCCTATAAAACTAAAACTCCTTATGAAACAATACTATAAAATTCCAAAAAAAAACTTTGGCTACTGTTATCCAATAGGTTTGAGATGAATGACGCAAAATTCTTTCCATTGATGGTATCAAACTTATACCAAAAAATAGCAGTTCAATTGAAATTAAAATGACACTAAATTCATTCTACTAGTATCAAATTTATACTATGCAAGATAAAAGCAGTTCCATAAAAAAATTACGTGAAAAACCTAAAACTAAAATATAAAACCTTTTTATATCTTCATCAGATTGCAAGACAGACTGCAACGAGACATGGCGATAGCACAGAAGTACCATCAACAACATTTACAATATCAAGTGCGTATACCCCATTCATTATCATCACCAGTCTATTAAATCCCCACTGCTGGGGCACAGGCCTTCCTTATGGATGGAATAGGGAGATTGGCCACGACCCACCTCGCGGGCCCAGTGCGGATTGGCGGGTGCTAACGACTGCAGCTACGGCCGGGACCAACGGCTTAACGTGCCTTCCAAAGCACGGAGGAGCTCGAGATAGTAAATTTTTGGTCACCCATCCAATGACCGACCACTGCGAAAGTTGCTTAACTTCAACGATCGCAGCCGAACGTGCTAACCACTTGCGCCATCGAGCTCCTCGTATGTACCCATTATTGACTTAATTTTTTTTCACAGACTGTAAATTATATCCATCTCATTTCTGTACAGGTCTTAGAAAGAGACAGGAGAGCGCAGCAAGCGCAATATTTGGAAAGGGACCGACAAATAGCGTTGCAACAGAATAGAGATCGGTAAGTACCTAGTAATAAAGTTTGAATTGCAGGTTATGAAACACAAGCGTTTATATACTGTCTCCCATATGCACTGCTCAGAGAGACTGAAATATCAATTTTATACACAATTAAAATATATTTTTAACTGAGTGGTCGTGATTTACGAAATTGACGTTGAATTGACCACGTGAAGTGCTTGAACACCACTGAAGCACTTCTTGATTCACAGCCGCTCACGGACTGATGAAAAATCAAGATGCCGTGCAAAATATGTAAAAAATACTTACAGTAGTGTGTCGTTTTTCGATAGTTGTCTCTTCAACGATTGTTGATTTAACGCATTTAATTTAGGTCTAATAGAATATTCATTCATTCACGAATAATAATAATATGTAGTTTATTTGCTAGGAACATAGTAATTTGTTTACAGATGAAAATTAAAGTTAAGTAATTTCCTCCCTTTAAGGGGCATGCAACATTCGTCATAATAAAGTAATATAAATAGTTTAGTAATACATATATATATAATAGGGTATTTGACAAGTTTTAGAAAACGATCTCACGTTATTGACTAATGTTTATGGAGTCCGTAAAAAGTAGATATTCATCATTCTGTTGTGTATTTCAGTAAAAATAACCAAATCAAAAACTCCATTTTCAAGTTGCCGCGAAAACGTTTCTCTGGACAATATGGCGTCTTACTAGTGTGTGACGTCACACGACTGACATTAACACGTCAAACGATACAATGTAATGGCACTTTAACCGGATGTTTACTTGCGTGTAACGTTATTTTTGACTCCGCCAATCCCAAGCGTTTTGGGTTACGTGACAATAGATAAGAAAACTATTATCTTTTTCGTTAGTTTTTAGTAAAATTATGAATATTTTTTTTGTACAATAGGTAAAACCCCTGTTAATATTCATTCTAAACACAGATACTAACAATTTGCACTTTATTTTTAACACTGTCAAATACCCTATTAAGTAATAGTCATAAATAGCAAGTGACGGCATGACGACGAATAAACAATTAATCTATTATATCTAATTTGTCGTAGTGAACGAGCGATGCAAGCGTTACAAGAGCGGCACGCGGCCGGAGAGCATTCCCATCACGCGCAGATGCACGAGCGACACCATCTGCAGCATCCGCAGGTCAGTATTTACCTTACTTTTTAACGATTATTTATTTATTAACATCAACAAGATTAACACCAACTCATTATAAAGTAACTTACAAACAATGTGGAAGCGAACTTAGTGCAATTTCAATTATAGATGTTACACAATAGCACTGTTAAGCAAAAATATCCCAGAACAAAGTCACACTATTATGACTTTATTTTGGTAAAAATAGCAAATACAACCTTTAACAACACAAAAGAGTGGAGAAAAAACCACTTATGTTTACAAATTAATAAAATATATTATGTAGATTAATAAATAAAGCAGTTAAATGAAATAACAACAAAATGCACTATTACTAACTATTGACTACACTGAACTTATAAATTCCTACATTAATATGTAATAAAAACAGTTAAATTTATCGTTGTTTATTTGAGTATTTTTTAGTAGTTATTTCAAGAACCTTATCATGAAATAAATATTTAGTGAATATATCACATTATAAGTAATGGAAGATACATAGCTTGTTATTAAGTTATAACTTATTGTTAACGCATGATTAAGAAGTTCTGCCTACACTGGAACGTCGCTCCATTTCTGCCAGTTGAAGCAGCTTTGACCCACGTGATCAAAAAAACCCCCTCTATACTTGTCACTCGCTACGCAATTCAAATTTTGTACGCTCAACTTTCTTTCGCAATTTTAATTTTTTTTATTTTATTTTGTAATTCATCATCATCATCATCAGCCTATTAATAAGCACAAGCCCTTCCTGTAGATGGAATAGGGAGATAGGCCATGACTCACCACGCGGGCCCAGTGCGAATTGGCGGGTGCTAACGACTGCAGAGGCAGCCGGGACCAACGGCTTAACGTGCCTTCCGAAGCACGGAGGAACTCGAGATAGAAGATTTTTGGTCCCATCCCATTTGGACCCATCCAATGACCGACGACTGCGAAAGTTGCTTAACTTCAACGTTCTCAGCTGAATGCGCTAACCAACCGCGCCATCGAGCTCCTCATCCTATTTTGTAATTATATTCGCATTATACGCATTATTCAAGAAACAACTGAGCTTTATTGAAGAGTACGCATAACGCCGATACACTTATAAATTCCAAAGGTGGTATTTAGTTTATCACATTATTGTTAGTGTAAGGAAAGTTACATAACTTATTATTAGGTAAATGTCCCACAGGTGGTATCGAGTCAGGAAAGCGAGCGACGGATGGCGTACACGCAACACAAACAACAGCATCGTGCTCAAACGCATCTAATCGACAGGAAAGATGGGTAAGTTGATTTTCACTCCAAATGCTGTTTAAATATCCTTTTTTTAACTTATTTTTATACATAATAGGCAATGCGTTTGACCACAATCTCGCCTGATGGAAAGCGATGATAGAAGATGCCTGTTCACTCTGGCCTTGAAGATGTCCAGATTATATTGGTTCGGGAAAACAAACCTCGGCAAGGAGTTCCACTCCCTAGCCGTTCGCATAATGAAAGCGGAAGCAAATCGCTTCGTGCGAATGGGAGGAACTTCGACAACATAAGGGTGAAAGCCCTCACCGCGCATGGTCGACCGGTGGTGGAAAGGGGAAGGGGGGAGCAAATTATGTATTATCATACCTCTCGCCCACTCTTCGAAATGTAACCGATAAAACATTGAGAGGCAAGCTACACGTTTTCGGTGGTCAAGGCTCTGGAGATTACCCTCAACTTTAGATGAACATTCAGTTTAAGCAAATAATAAGAATTACTTGTTAATTTTTAATTGGTTGTTTAAACCGACTCTCGTGTTTTAATACCCCGTCTTATATGTGCAGTCGCATAAACTTCTATTATTCGGGGAATAATAATAAATGAAAATAATAAAACATAAACACCCGGATTCGAATCCCGGTCGGGGCTGATGTTTGTGTGATGAATACCAGTATTTGTACTCCAGTCATGGATGTTTAATATGTATTTTTATATAAATCTATTTATATATGAACAGTACAATATGTATTCTATCTGTTACTCTAGCATCCCATAACATAACACAAGCCTTACAGTGCTTACTTAGAGGCTAGGCTAACTGGTGTGAGTGTTGGAAATCTTTGTTATTATTCCCCTAAATTTTAAGGGTAATTTATTAATAATAATTTTTTTTGGCAATTTTTTGTTTTTATTTTTTTATATACATCATACAAAAATACATACAACCCTAAATTTTCAATTTTCACCCTTCTACCACCAACCCCTATTCTTTATGGCGGTACGAAGTTCCCTGGGCCAGCTAGTTATTGTTTATATGTATAATAAATGTAGATGTTTTATAACAACAATAATATAAATTACGATCGTCTCTCCAGCCGTCCCCCAGTAGCAGTCAGCGTGGCTAGCAGCGGCCCTTTGCCTAGCGTAGCAGTGGGGGCTCCAGTGGGGGCGGGGGCTCCGGCGGGCGCGGGGGCTCCAGCAGTAGCGGGGGCCGGGGTGGGGGCGGGGGCGGAGGGCAGGAGGCCCGGGGAGGGGACTCTCACCGCGGCCTCGCTCATTGATGCGATAATAACGCATCAAATAAGCCAGGCTACGGACACGCAGAGATACCCGGTGAGTATGTTTGCTTGTGATTATTATTGAAATGTATTTTAAAAGTGAAACGTCTTTTCGGACGGGTGGTTGTCAATGGAAAAGAGGGAAAGAAACGGAAATGAGTCAGGAGCGTCACACGACTATATACATATATATTTATTTATATATTTGATGCGCAGCTCCGAGCATGAAAGTTGGAGGGTAACTCGACGAATGCTGAAACGCTACGAGCGTCACGGGCTACAATATATATACATGTGTATGAGTGATGCGTGCGCTGCTCCATTCCCCTATGCCTTAAAATATTAAATGCCTAATGTTAGGGTATTTAAGAAAAGATGTTTCACTTCAGATGTGTAGTCCGAGTACACATTTTTTTGTCTTTTTAATCTGAATTCATTTTCTCATTTAGTTAACATACACAATATTAGCACTTCGCAAAATTTGCAGTAAACATTAAATTTGTATGTAAAAATAAAATCAAGGCAGATGTAGGAAACGTTTACCACACACTTTAATTAATCGATTTCTCTATGTGAGTTACTCTTTACTCAAAGAGAGCTTTTATCAAATTTGTAACACAAATGTCATTCATTCATCTAATATATAAAATTCTCGTGTCGCGGTGTTTGTGGTTAAACTCCTCCGAAACGGCTCGACCGATTTTCGTGAAATTTCATATGCATATTCAGTAGGTCTGAGAATCGGATGTAATCTATTTTTCATCCCCCTAAATGTAAAGGGTAATCCATCCCTATTTTTTTTTTTAAATTTTAGATTTTTTTTTTAATTTTTTGATTTTTGATTCATCATACAAAAAAAAACATACAATAGGGTCACCTGAGACCGTCAGACAAATTAGCTACATAAATACATACACACGTTTCCCTGTTTTTATTATATTTAAACGTGTAAAACATTAATCACACTTTAATACCACACAGACCCTACGCGAGTGCGATAACGGCGCCCCCAACCAATCGCAAGGCGATCGGGATCGTTCCACGTGCGAACGACCCGAACGACCGGAACGACCCGAAAGACCGGAACGACCCGATCGACCTGAAAGACAAGAAGACCCGCAGCACACAACTAGCATAAAGCTGGGAGATCTCGCCTCAAATATTATTACCAGGGACTTTTGCAGTCCCACTGCTGCGCTTGTACATCATAAGTGAGTCATATTCTTTACTTTATTTGGGAAATAAACTTAGATTAAAACAAAAAGGAAAGATACGGCACTCGTGATTCAAAAGTGATTTAGGACATTCAAACACGCTGCATGTGCACTGTTTAAAACAAAATTGCGTATATTCTGTGTTATAAAGATAAAACAATGCCTTCGATGCTTTTATAAAGAACACAAAAAGTTCAAAGTCAAATAACAAATGCCTCTGCAACACTTTTTACTCGTAAAACTGTAAAAACATTTTTTGAAGTGAAAACTTCTTTAGCGGCGTTGTACACTTTTTTTGTAATCGGTAAAAAATGTTAAACTCGCGTCAGGACACGTGGCGTAAGACGAAAACAATAAAATTGGAAAGGTTGTTGACTTGAACGAAACATAGTAATATTTTATTTTATCGTATTATAATAATAAGTCTCTAACTAGGACGTCCAGAAGCTCTACTCTCTTTCTCCGAAACGAAATTTCGGTAACGAACGAATATTAAACGAAATTTCGCCAAAGACTCTACTCTATTTCATTTTGGAACACGCACATAAAGTTCGGAATCAAGACAATTTTCGTGAACGAATGGAATGAGTCATGTTTGTGAGTTCTTTTATCTCCACTTTTTAGATTACCTGTTTTACTTGGAAACAATATTACTTTGCTATAAAATTTATGATGACATTAAAAGAACCTTCTTTGACAGTGTTACCCGAATAATTTGTAGAGTTGATGCATTTCATTGTATGTCAACCTAAATTTGTCGTTTAATACTTTAAGTATTGGAAATATAACCGTGATAATAATTAATTAAAATTTGGTGTATTTGTTAATTTGACATGCTAAAAAATGTTCCTCAAGCTAAGCAATTAAGCCTTGATTAAAAATACTCTTTTTAGGCTTAATTTAAACAAAAGTCCCAAAACGAAAATGAAAAGATAACACTTTTTATTCCGTCAATTTGAGGTAAAAATTTCGAACAATCTGCCAAATTCAACTTTTCTTGTGAAAGTTTTGTGAATTAGAGTAGGCTTGGAGAATTTAATTGTCAAACTATTTTCGGACGAACGAATTTTCGAAATGAAAAGGAAACAGAGTAGGAAACGTGCGAAATTTCGATCGAAATTAAGTTTTTCTTTATAGAGTAGGCCTCCAGGTGGCAGCTTTATTGCGAAGAAAATATATTTTTTTACAATAGATGTCGCAAGGTGCGCTTAAATGTGATTCATGTAAGTTGATTTTTCTGAGAGATAAACTTTTTAATGTAATCTAAATTGTCATGTTTGTGTACGATAGCGCAATAAATAAATATTGTATTCTACCACATAAATGTACTTTTATACTGATAATTTAATCAATTCGTGCAAAATTATTTCCTAACCATTCCAAAATATCAAAAATGCACAAAGTTAATATTCAAGTTTTCACTTCTGTCGGCACTCCCGGAGTGCAACCCGTCGTTTTTTTTTTCTCAACAATCACTGTTTGTCGTGAATGTTTTGTACGTAATCGCCATTTTGTTATCAAGAAAAGGACAACATACAACTCAGCCGTATCGACTCGGAAGCGGACTCGCCGTTTCGCTCGCGTTGAAGCGTACAGTTCTGTCTCGCTCGCTCGATTGAATGGTTATTTACAGACGTGTGCGTGTATGAGACTTGTATTGTAGTTGAGTTCCGACTCAACTACAATACAAGCATATTTTATTTGATGCAAGTATGAACGTACCCACGGGCGTAGCCAGGTTTTAGAATCGGGGGGGGTTCAAGAAAATAAAACGAATAAAAATACATAAAATAGCCGTTTATTCATAAGAACAATATTTAATATGTAATAAACAGATTCAGAGAAAACTTCTGGAATGGAAGGAATCGTCGAAGACCTTTTTCAAGCAGGGGGACAATATAGGCTAAATAAAAAAATTACGTTCAGTTATACCTAGGTACACGTTATAGAATTAATCTTCTGTTCTTCTTTTTAAATATATCCACTACTTCATTCGCATCAATTTCTATCCCATAGTGAATGTTCATGAGAGCCAAGCCATTCAGTCTGTTTTCACCCGTTGTGTTCCGCAAGTAGTTTTTAAGCCTTCTTAGACTTGAAAAAGACCTTTCTGGGGTAGCAGTGGAAACAGGTAACGTAGCCAGTATTTGCAACAATGTGTAAATATTTGGATAGAGTTTTTGGTCGCACTTATCTAAGCATTCCAAAGCTGATTTTGGAGTAGGGGAGGTGAGAGTCATAGCTGCTTTCCACACTTCAAGTCCTGCTTTGACGACAGATGTACTCTTTTCAGGCAGCACTTCTGAATACATACAAAATGCCTCTTCAATTTCACAACCTTTCGCAAAATTTGACGGTAACACACCAGACAGTGCCGACACTACTTTACGGTGTTTCGTAAATCTCTCAATTAATTGTTGAATTGTATGGTCGAGAAAAGGGATGAATAAATTTATTTTGTAATATGTGGATATATCCGACGCAGGAATGTTAGAGCGATTTAACTGCCTCCCGACGATACGTGGCATAAGCAGAATACCACCATTTTCTTCTATTAGCACCTTTGCTTTCTCATAGAGATGGGGGTACTCTTCGTCAACTTTATCTCTCAAAAGTTGCAAAGCATTAATAACATTATCCACGTGGCTGAATGCTGTTATGAGGTCTGTGTTAATTGCTTGCAGTTGCTTTGATAGCGACAATGTATAGCTCATGACTTTTTGAAGAATCACTAGGCACATAACGAAATTCGAAGATCGAAGTGTGTTTAGCATTTGGACTGCTTGCTGCGATGTTTCTTTATTGTGGCTAGATTGAAGTTTTTCGAGAGCATGCACAATCGCTGAATAAATTTCCGTGAATCTTACAATGGCTTCATGTTTATGAACCCACCGTGTTTCGCACATTGCAAGCAGGTTTTTTTGATGGTCAACCGGTAATAGCTCCCGAATTTTTTCCTTCAGAACGGCAGTGCGTTGAGCCGAATGTCTAAAGTAGGAACCAACAGACTGCACGATCCCGGTGCAATTTCGCACATCTGCTAGTGAACATGAGTCAGCAATAGCAAGATTGAGAGAGTGTGCACTACAGTGTACATAAAGAGCAAGAGGACATTCTTGACGAATATACGCTTGGGCACCGTGCAAATACCCACTCATGGCTGCAGCCCCATCGTAACCTTGACCAACCACATGAAAACATTGAAGTCCATGCTTTTTCAGAGCTGTGATAATGAGGCTTGCAAGACCGGATCCTGTCACGTCAACAGTTGGAATATACTCTAAGAACATCTCCTTAACTTTATGTTGTTTAACATCTTTTAAGTCAACATATCGTAAGCAAAGCGAAACTTGCTCTATGCGCGCAATATCAGTCGTCTCATCAGCGAGAATCGCAAAAAATTTAGCTTCCTTTACTTCACCGATGATCTTATGTTGAATAATTTCACCACAGATATCAATTATTTCATTTTGGATTTGAGGGCTCGTGTAAAGGGCATTCTTTTGAGAAGTGACCAAATGCTCAGAAAGATCTTTATCCCCAGATTCTGCTGCGTACCGCAACAGTGCTCGAAAATTACCATCATTCTGACCTGGTTGTTCAGACTCTGGTGTAATACTGATCCGTCCCGAATCAGTTTTACCTCTTAAAGGTATACCTTGTTTGCCGCAAAAAATTATTCCTTTTACGATAGGAATTAGTTTCTTTCGGTTTTCCTGTTGCTGTCTCTTTCTTTCAGAAGACAACTGCTCATCGACTGAAAAAGCCCGAGAAGACATAACTTTTAGGAAGTTATCTGCGAGTTCCGAATTTCGTTTGTGATATCCCGACTTTGCATGAGTTTCAAATATTTCTAGTGCATTTTTCCACTTGCAAAAAGGGTCGGTTACAAGCTGGCCTACCCGCTGATGGCCTCCTTTACCTTCATCAAGTGAACGTCTCATTACGACGCAAATTCTACAGTATGCTCCACTTTTATATTCTGAATATGACAACCACGGGAATCTTTCAATCCATTTCATTTGAAAGCGCAAATTTCGTTTTGTAGAAATGGGAAACTTATAATCTTTAGGTGGAGTCCAAGGCTCTTTTAAAATTTGGGCTTTTAGATATTCATCCTCGATTTTGTCTTGATTCGCATAAAAACCAACATCCAATTTGGCATAATGAAAAGATGACGTAACAGGTGAGCTAGTAATGCTGCTGGTCGGTTCCAGGCTAAATGTAGGCTCGGTAGTGGTAGGCATGACACAAGGCACCAGCGCCCCCACCGACTCGGTTTCTACATTGGATACTGCAAACGAAGTCGAAGGCTCGCTTGCCATCACAATTTTACTGTCGGCATGCAAACTAGTTGTTGGTCCCAAATTATCTTCTTTACGGTTAGCCACTTGACCACACCACTTTTTCCAATACTCCATACCTTTAAGCTTATCGCCTTTTCTTTTGTTTTTCTCCATTTTCTCGTAACCTAAAATGATAATAAAAATATTACTCTATACACCACTGAGAGAACACGACATTGGAGCTGACCAGACACCACAGAGGCACCTGTTCACAAGTTGACTCATGTGACAGCGCCGCCCGTCCTCTTCAACCATATTACAGGGAAGTGGGCGACCCATCACATGATGCCACCGCTGCAGTGGTATTTAAGTGAGAATTATTTCTCGACATTGCATTTTTAGAGTTAAATCTTATTAGTAGTTACTTACTCTTATTAAAAGTGAAAATTCTAAATGTATTTAAGTAAAATCAAACACAAAAATAACAAAATAACGTCGTCGTTCACTGTAAATTGCAATCTGCTTAAATACTCTCGCTCGGTCTCGGTAATGAACGCGACATGCGCGCGGTGCGCGTGGGATACGAAACGGCACGACGCGGCATGAAACTACACGAAGATTACCGAATGTGACACGACGACGAGCGGCTCGGCGCGGTGCGCCCGTAGAGAATCCAATCCAAACCACATACTTTTGAGTGTAATTAATTAATATAGTTAAAGGAGATGGACAGAAGTGGGAGGCCATTTCCGGCAGGGTCAATATATATACTATTTTAAAGCTTTGGTTGTATAGTATGAGGTGGTATAATTTATTTATTTTTAGAAACCGCCATTTTTTTTAAATCCTGAAAATATAAAAGTTGTTGGTATTAAAGTTTTTGAACGTTCCCTTTCTAATGTTGAGAAAGATCTCTGGTTGAAATAATATATGTTTTTGAACGCACCTCCGCAGCTTGACGTTAGCTGTCACGCATGTCAGTTTACGTGTGAACAAACAAACTGCTAGTGATGTGTCATAAATACTAGCCGGCCAATGTAGCTACGCCGAGATTAAAATAACAGCCAATAGGCATGCTAGTATTTTTATACGAAAAAATCCTATGGAGTAAGCAAGTGGCTGTTTAGGTAACTATTGTTTCTTTTTTCTTTTCTTAGTATAGCGCTGTCCCTTTTAATCGTGTCACTTTTCCTTGAGTAAAGTGTTCTGGAGTCGGTTCTGCGCCATCTATCGAGCCCTTGGAAACTATTTTTTTAAATGCTTTTGGAAACCTCTCATTCGTTTTTGGAGTAACGTATTAGCAAATAGCATTTTTCATAATATTGTTTTATGACAGCTTTCGTTTCCTTCTTAGACAATGAATCTATTAATTTACTTTGTTTCATCTATTTTGAGATATCGCAGGTATCAAGTAGCTATTCTAGTAGTCTTCACTCTTGGAATCCCTACTGAATACTAACTAACAGTTTTTGTAGTTGCCATTTGTAAAAAAAGGATAAAAGTGTTGCAAGTACAAGATTTTACTTCACCACATGCTATTTATAAATTAATATTAAAAAATAAACGGGTTTTTTTTTCAAATGATTTCAATGTTTGATATATTACAAAAAATATTCACTATAAACCAGTATGGTTGAGTTCTCTGCCGGTTGCCACCTCCCAGCTCCCATACAAGATCCGTCCATCTCCTTTTATCTTAACTTTTCGGGGGGGGTTTGAACCCCCAAAACCCTCCCCCTGGCTACGCCCGTGAACGTACCGTATCTTCTCTTTTTGTTTTAATCTAAGGAAATAAACAATATTACTGCGATCGGATCGACAGGAAGACCCGCAGTATACAACGTGTTTGTAATTGGGCATTTTAATTTTCTATAGCGAAGTTATTTAGTTGTATGCAAAATATATTAATATAGTGTAAAACAACAACAATTTAATTTTGTAAATGACTGTCACTCCATTTTATAAATACATTACTCAGTAACTAGTATTCATTGAGTGAATTCCAGGTTTGACTTTGATCAACTATAACTTTAAGAAAATTAAATACATCTGTATTTACTATTTGGGCCCGATTGCAGTAATCTCAATTTATGATGACCTGATGATGATGAGTAATGATGTCGAACTGACATTGGCGTTTTGACATTGGATTAAAACTAGTTTTTGTTGAATCGAGATTTTGCAAAATTTGCTGCAAATAGGACTTAGGCCCGCTTGCCCGCTAAAGCTAGATTTAGCCCATAGAAAAATGACAATTCGATATTATTTCATGGGCTAAGTGACCCTAGTATCCCTGAAATTCAAGGATCCCTGTTAGAAATCAGAAATCAATATATGTATCTTTATTCAAAATGGATTTATAGTACAACTCTTTTGAATCGTCCAAATTTTTTTCTCTACCAATCGTTATCGGACATATTTTTTTAGCTACGGAGAAAAACGAGCGAAAAAAAACTCCACAACATTAAAAGTATACTGTAACAACATTAACAAATCATTATGTTGTTACAACGTCAATACAACCACGATTTATTTAATATAGAAAACCTGTTGAAATGATCGATACAATTCAAACCCAAGCTTTTTTGTCTGTAATATAATCAGACACTTTGTAATAAGCTTTTTTAATAAGGGGTTTTTATGCTATCTTTGAATTTATTTATGGTTAACTCTTGGATATTGCTTGGGACTTTATTGTATTACCAAACACAAAGACCTTTAAATGAATTATTGATTTTATGAAGTCTAGTAGCAGGTAAAGTTAGATTATTTTTGTTTCCTGTATTAAGTGTGTGAACATCACTTGTTTTAAGAAACAAATTAATATTTTTACTTAAATTCTTTAAACTTATCTCTTAAGGATTACTAAAGGTTATGTTACATTATAATAGCAAGCAAGACTCCTAATTCCCACCGTATTGTGTTCCCAGTAACCGTTTCGCCGTATCCACGTCGGAGGGGTACAGCACGGGCGGGGCCACAGTACAGGCAGGCCCACAGGCGGGGGCGGGCTCACAGGCTGTAGCGGGCTCACAGGCGGTAGCGGACGAATGGAAGAGACGGGAGGCGCCCAAGCATGCCCCTTATTTAGTGGAGCCGGTGTCGCCGCCTGACAACCATCACGCTAATAGGTAAAATATATAAATTATACTCCATTCAGGGACTCAAAATTATAAAAAGAATTAAATGGTACTACATTTAAGATATAAAATTATATTATATTAATTAATTATATTAGCTAATAAATTCATACACAGACAATAAAGTGTTAAAAAATTATTTAGCTATTTAGTAGACTTGCAACGAATATTCGGTTACTATTCGGTATTCGGCCTATTCGGCTGCTTTTATTATATTCGGCCGAATACCGAATACTTAAATAATATATTTTGTCATAGAGAAATAATTGGTAAAATGAAAAATTAAAATCGATTGATTACGTATATATTCATATTTTCATTTCTATTATATAATCATTTAAGTCATTGGTACATAACACAGGTACATTATCATCTTCTGAATTGGAAAAATGGAGGATTCTATGTATTTGAATTATTGTGGTAATCAAAATTTAGAAGGGTAAGGTTCTCATTTCTTTTATAATCATTTATTAAGTAGTCATTGGTATGTACATAAAACAGGTACATAATTTAATCATTTTCTGTATTAAACAAGTTAACAGCTTTTAATTCATTCAGTCATGTGATGAATGGTTATTGGCCATATCTCAAAAGTTGGTATTGTCATTTAGCCGCATTTTAGCTTGAGGACGGCAGATTACAACAAAACAAAGGAGCGCGAAACAATCACATCTGTACAAGTTTTTGGCGCTAAAATCCAGCCGAATACTTTTGCCTAATATTCGGCTATTCGGTCTGGGGCCTCGCCGAATATTCGGTCTGGGGCCTCGCCTAATATTCGGTATACTGCCGAATATACTATTCGTTGCAAGTCTACTATTTAGCGATGTAAAAAGAATAATAAATAAAGAGTTTTGTATTTATTTTGTACAGAAGCAACAGCAGTCGTCGTTACAGCGGCGCGGGCGGCGTTCTAACCGCCTTCGACTACGTCACCAACCGCATCGTTGAAGTGATGCGATCCGACGCTGACGAACGAGCGAAACCGCCGGCTTTCCCTACTGCATACGCTTACCCTTATTCAGCACTCAATGTTCCCGCTGACGGTGAGATACACCAACTAATAGTTGTAACTAGCAAACCAGTGAACCAAATGTTCACCAAAACCTGATTTCTCGAAAACCGGAAGTGCTACATTACTCAAATCCGGTTTGTAGTCTTATCAGACTATTCTTAACTTATAACTTAAATATTCTCTTTATCTATCTCTTACGGTTTGGCCGCTGAAACAGCACCACAGACGGACGGATTTGTCTAATAGATATAGTTGTAATAATAATTAACCATACAAACGTTTTTTGCATACAAACGTTCTCGACTGATGCCTCCTTGATTTTTATGTCTAAAGAATTGATTTTCATACATCATCATCATCAGCCTATTAATGTCCCCACTGCTGGGGCACAGGCCTTCCTTATGGATGGAATAGGGTGATTGGGCCATGACCCACAATGCTAAATGGGTGCTAACGACTGCAGATGCAGCCGGGACAAACGGCTTAACGTGCCTTCCGAAGCAAGAGACGCTCGAGATAGTAAATTTTTGGTCACCCATGCAATGACCAACCACTGCGAAAGTTGCTTTACTTCAACGATCGCAGCCGAACGCGCTAAACTTTCGTGCCATCGAGCTCCTCCCTTCCAGAATCTTGCTCCCTCTGTCTTAATTAATGAGTTTCCCTTCGTCTCTATTTTGTTCTAAGTTTAGATAATCATACCATGTATTACCTAACTAATATGTTTAGTTTGCGTTTATTTTAATGTATTTTCAACTTGCTATTTACAAAACTTTTGTTTTGTATTGCGCACAACCTCCCTCATTATTATTATCGTGCTTTCTATTTTTTTTTCGAGCTCATTTGGTTGTTTGGAAGAAATCGCCGATTAGCGATAAGACCGCCCTTTGTGCAACTGTATTTGTTTTGTATTTTATTCGTATTCTTTATGTTACTGATGTGCAATAAAGTGTTATTATCTTATCTTAATGCCCCTTCATCTCCAGCAGGCGGCAGTAGCAGCACCTCCGTAGGAGTCGGGGTAGGGGTCGGAGTTAACGTAAACCCCCCCTCGGGTACCGTAGGCGTGTCCGTAGAACCTGCGCCCTTAATGTCTTCGCAATACGAACCACTTTCCGACGAGGACTGACCCCCCCGGGCCCCGCCTAGACCACCGCAACCGCCCTCCTAGCGGCGACGACGGTCCGTCATACGACGCACGCCTACGAACGACACTTAAAATAAACAAAGAAGAGAAAAAAACGTGGCTGTACACGGCATTGTGCCTTTGCCTGATGACGGAAAATGGAAAATTTTCAATGGCTGTATGCATCGCCTTTGCCCGGCATTCGATAACGAGTTTTTGTAGGAAACGAGGATAGAGGCTGAATGAAACCTGCGCTTTATCGATTACAATCTCAGCAATTACAAGGTTGAGAAAAACTCTTACATACAGCCTTTACACGATAAAAGCGTGAAGGCTTAACGAATCTGAAGTTTTACTAAACAAAACCGAGAACTATTATAAATCATGAGAAGTAAAATCAAAACTATGCATGAAATGGCACGAATTAGTTGAGGAACTGATTCGATGCATGATGGAATCACGAAAAAGAATGAACACAGGCAATGAAACTTTCAAATTAAAGTTGAGATTATGGTATAAATGAAATAAATATGTAAAAAGAAACGAAAACTGAGCGATTTTATTGACTGAGCTTAACGCTTGAGTGGCAATGCTAAATATAGGAGAAGCAACGAACGCTTACAGGAAACGTTTTATTGTGATGCAACTTGGGATATATCACTTTGAAGTGATAAGTGTAAACAAGCTTTTATGCTAAGTTATCGCAAACAAAAGTGCTTATAAATAGGCAAAATGACAAAAACTTATTCTTATTGTGTACTTGAGGAATTCTCCATATTGTGAACAAATCATGTGTGAATAGTGAGAAAGTGCAAATATGAAAACACAAAACTGTGAATTTTAAGTTAAAATAAAAACTTTTCTATTAATCTATAAATAATTATTATGAACTTGAATTTATCATTCGAAAATTTAAACAACGACTAAATTTAATCAGCAATCCTCTTAATTATGGTAATAACAATTGTTAATTAAATAAATTTGATCAAAGTGCAGTATCCAGCATTAGTACGGAGAGCAGTGAACTACGGACAGTTGATTGTAATCATGACGGACAACAGTCGATCGATACCATAACGCATTTGGAGTGTTTAACACTGAACTATTCATAAAAACAGGGATATAATGCATTCGATGTGTTGTGTTGAGCTTTAAGTGTAAACTGGTGCCGGAAACAAAGAAACCGCATACCCCAGTGGTTGCAATTCTGTGGCTTGTGCATATTGCTCAGTGAACACGGTAAAACATAAATGTACAGTCATAACATGCAAAGTAAATTTGAATTTCTTTTAATACAATAATTGATGATAAATAGCCAGTGGTGTCTTAATATTTTGTTCTATAATGCTCATATTATGTGAGCTTAAAATGTTATAAGTATTCCGTGTTTCACTTGCAATATCCACTGTCAACATAATAGTAATTTTGTATGTGATAAATTATAATGTCCATTGCCTTCAGCTGTCTTTTGATATTTGTAAACTTTATGTAATAGACTGACCAGATGTCTAGTGTTGTGCTTGATCATGAAATAATAACGATAAAAAATTTTGAATACCAGTGAGCAATTTTTTTTATTTTTTTTCTTGCTTCAATTGAAAATGTCAGTGAAATTGATAAAAAGAATTAAATACTTAGCTTATTATAAATATTTGTCAGAAAACTGAGTACTTTTCTTATTTATCGATAATGGTAAAATGAGCTAGCACCTCACTAGTCAGTGTAATATGTAATTAATAATGTTGTTAAAAAATATACAAATAACCAATGTACGTATTTTCAATGGACTTTTGACAGAAGTGTGTGATGTTTTTTTAATGATGAACCTATGAAAGATCGACCTATCTGCATAGTTTGTGAAGAACACGCATCTTTTTGTTGAAACCTTATGATAATTAGGTGTGTAAATGAATTAATCTGTTAACTAAAAAGAGTGACCCGACCGACGCGGCCAGAAGGGGAGTCGCCATTGTGACACAATACCACTGAAATCATTCTGCCACTTTTTGCGGGAGGAGGAATATGTACACAAATGCAGTCTAACATACTCCCGCAAAAAAACCAATTGTATTTAAGACACACACATAAAAAATTACAACACTAAGGCCCGTATTATAGAAAGACTAGCAAACCAGTGAACCAAATGTTTACCAAAACCTGATTTCTCGAAAACCGGAAGTGCTACGTTACTCAAATCCGGTTTGTAGTCTTATCAGACTATTCTTAACTTATAACTTAAATATTCTCTTTATCTATCTCTTACGGTTTGGCTGCTGAAACAGCACCACAGACAGACGGACGGACTTGTCTAATAGATAAGAGATTCTCAGTGACTGATCTAGTCTTGAGCATAGTTAGAAAGGGATGTCGCTATATATAGCACATAGCGATATCCCTTTCTAACTGTACCCAAGTAAAGATCAACACTTGGTTGTCATTCTGTAATACGGGCCTTAATCGTGCTTAAATGAAACTTAAGATTTAAATAAAACAAGTTTCAGCAGTGCAGATGCACTGCTTTGTTTGTTTAAGACATTTCGCATCCTTTTCAGGCTGCATCGACAGAATTATGTTTTTATTAATAATTGTTTTATTTAATAAGTGGTGTGCGTAAAACCTAAGAAACAAATAACTTTTAATAATAATTTTTTTTGACCAATCTGAAATTTGCACTGGCATGGCGAGTCGATTGGTTTGTCAAACAAGTACGAAGATTGAATTTCTGTAAAATAATATTTATTTACTGTTTAAAAGTGATTACATTTCTATACAATCACTTTATATTATTATTCTTTCTATAATATGTGTATAATTCTACTTTCATGTGAAATGTAACAACCATACTTTTTTAAGTTTGATGTTGCATATCTGCTTTACTCTGCTTACTGAATATTTTGGCATTTTATATGCTCTGACTACACTCTCGCGACTTGACTCAGTCTAGTGAAATATCCGAGTGCAACTTAGTTTAGTTTTGAAGCTGACCCAACAGCGGGGGAAAATCGACAGAGGGGAACGCTGTGAATGCCCACTCCCCTATTGGCCGCATCGGCCGCGTTGCTCTATGGTTAACTACAGCTGTATTTACTGCGTCTCTGTTTGCTAGAATCATTACAAAGGTTAATGCATATAATTAAATTAGTGCATTTCTTTTTCCGTTCATAAAAAAAATAAGATCGGTCGACTTTTTCATGTCCATTTGTAAATCGGAAGGTACATTGAAGCATAAATTGAACATAGTTGTCTGTCACACAAGCAACTCGGTAGCGGTTCCGTTGAGACACACGGTGATAAAAAAAACTGTTTTTTTTCTATTTTTTTTTGTATACTTTATCCAGTCTTCCATTGATCACTGATGTGACAGAAGGTAGGCTAGGGGTTACCGTGCGACTTCGTCCATAATACTTATGTAGCGTCACTTAGGTACTAACTTGTACATTGTGTATAGCCAGGCCCGGGCTTTGTACAGAGCTAGCCCGCTCGGACACTTTTGTAAGATTTATTATTATTATTATTATTTGTAAAACTATGGAATTCGCTGTGGCGCCGCGGTTATTTCCTTAGTATAGCGCGTAGTCGAATTTATCAATTTACCTTGTACATAGCTCTTATGATACGTCGTAGCGACGTCCGAGCCGCGACCTATAAATATATATATATATTTAAATATAATATGTATCTATATCTATACATTATGTAATATGTAAACTCGGATCTAAAGTTCACGATAAATTATATATATACATATGTAAAAGTGTATGGTTATTATGTAAACACTGTGCATTTGTAATTATGTAGAAGTTAGTTAAGGTTTAATGATAGTGGTTTAATTTTTTAGTTTTAAGCTCGGCGCCGGCCGGCGTGCAAACGCGGACGCCTGCACCGCCACGGACGGTCTATTATTATAATTACACTATTATTTTAATTAAATACTTATATACACAGTGAATTTTGAGTTACCCGCGATTCTTAAAAGTCGTGTAAATTAACATAGTGCGATCAGTTATAAACAGTTACCGTACTACATCCATCATATAAAAATATTGATATTATATTGTTTACAAAATATTATCCGAATAAAGTGCGCAGATTCTATAAGTAGTTCTATTTGAATCCATTTAAAACAATTAAAATGGTTTCATAATTACACAGAAATAGTGAGTTAACATGAAGAAGTTTTGGGAAAAAATAAATAATTTCAGTATCTAAATCATTGTCCGAATAAGCTGGTAAAGTTTCTTAGTTAACTCAAAATTCACGGTGTATATATAATTCTTTCTTTTGTACTTTATAATTAGCTCAAAGAGTTAAAAATTTCATGATGTGATCGCGAGTCGCTAGATAATTGTGAATAGTTGTTTAGTAAGAACAGGCGTCGTCGTCAAACAAAATGACGACTGTAATTCTCTTTACAGGTATAATAATATGAACGTAATATGATAAACTTTTCTTTCATATTGAAAGCTTTGTTTCGAGATTGGTGTAGTGTAGTGGCTGGGTGTTGATGGCGCGCGGGGCTCCGGAACGGTGCAGGCTGTCCGCGCCGCGTGTTACTTTCTTTTTTGTTTTGTAAATGTTTTTTCGAAGTTAATGTAAACACGACTGATTAAATTAACACGAGCGAGGGGCGCGGCGGCCGCCGGTCCGCTCTCGACATTGTGATTTCTTTATAAAAAAAAACTGTAATGTTATTGTAAGTAGCCGAAAGAAAAAGATAATCCTTGTAAGTCCGATCATAAATAAGCGAAAACAAAGTTCTGGGAGGACAAATCAATAAATAAGATGCAAATCTATTTTGTGTGTGTTTTATTTACGTTTTGTAATTATAAGACTTACTAGGCGTTCTGAAATAGCATATAGTGTCCTTCTGTGATGTAATTTACTTCTTTTTCACACAAGGCGCAGCAAAATATAATGCGATTCAACTAAGAATAGGACCGACTGGGCGCCATATTTTGACGTCATAGCTGTCAATTCAAATCAAGTAGGTAGAGTGAGCAAAAAACCTTTTTTATTTAATAAAACTTATTTACTAAGATTAAGTGAGACAAAACATCAAATTTTTTAATAAAATTAATTTAATAAGGTTGAGAAAGAACACAACCGATTTTAATAGTATTCCTTTATTAAGACTGTGAAAAAAAGCTCGTAGCTCTTCGCTCATCTCTGCATTACCGCCGGAGAAGTAATGAATAATCATGCAGGTCACATACGAACATGCATCCTATATGTAAACGAAAGTTTTAAATCGAGTTTCTGAACGCAATATAACGTGACCTTTGGTTGTTTAGGTTATCAACCATTCATAGCCAATACTCAATAAGTGAAAAAAAAAACAAATTATATTAATAATCAACCTTTGTTATTGTTTGTTTAAAAATGTTTGGTTTTTATTCTAGAATCAGCTGAGTGCTAAAAAAGTGTTTCGAGATTTTTTTGCAAACCGTACTGTTCAAGCGACATTTGACAGATGGTGGTCATTGGCTTTCCTATTCTTATTTGAATCGCATTATAGGAATAAATATTGTAACGACAGGACAGTGTGGCGCTCCAGCTATCTAAAATTTGAAACTTTGAATCAGTACATGAACATATTCTACATTAAAGAAAAAGAGCACTCCTCTTTTTATAATAAATATATACATAATACACGTTTGTCAGCATAATTATATACAACTTGTTACATATTCATAAAAATTACAAATTCGGCCATAGACGCGCTTATGGGATTGGTTCTCATAGATCTCTATGTAGATTTCCACCATCAGGAGTACCAAATAGGCACAAAAGACGGTGACTCCAGTCCAGGTTCGAGTCTTCGGGTTGCTGTAGCTAAACCGAGGACTTTTTTCCATTATCAGAGCGAAATATTACTCCACTATTTATGCATTTCTCTGCACAAATGCCGTATACACTTTCGATTACTTATTATCTATTATGTTTCGATTTTCCCGTTGTTACACGACTGATTTAATAATGTATTTCCTGCGACAAGGTCACATCACAACTAACTTTATCTTGTTTCATTACCAAACTGCGTAGAATTTAAAAACTTGGCAAAGATTCAAGGCGCTATATTGATAGACATACCTACGGCTTCTTATAACTCATTTACTTACACTTATTGAAAAACTTTTGAGTATGGTAAATATATCATTTCTACAAAAACGCCGATGGAACACAGCCCCCTTATAAATAAACGAAGGATAAGATTGGATTACTTATTCCAGGCTTTGTTTCTAATGGCATTTGAGTGACATAAACAAAACACAGCGTAACTAGTCTAAACTTATTCCTTGTTTATTAATAAGGGGGTAGAATGCTGACAAAAGTGAAAACAAAAAAAAAATTCTTAATAAGTAATAATTTTGATAAAATTATACCACAGCACAGCATACAGTGCTCATCATGTTAGGGGAGCAAAAGCGGGGATTTTGGGACGTACTTGAAGCGCAGCAGAATAACATAAGGGAGCAGGGAAACGTTCATAAATAAATAAAGTTTTGTGCATTAACCCGTGAAAAACTAGTTTTATTTAATAAGGGAGCATTTCAAATGGTGCAAGGTTGCCCAAACCTTACCCAACATACTTGACCATATTATGTATATACGTCAGTCAGCCTAAGAGCTCCACCATTTCCGATCACCACGTCAATTACTTACTTATATCAAGATACAAGATGAACTTCGTACCCTAGAGAGTTGACACTAGCCATGTATCGCCACCAATCTACCCCCAAATCTAAGCCCTTGGGTCGAGTCGAGTGTATTTTAGTTGTCAGGCAACGATACTAAATAGCCTAGATATACCAACACGAACAAAATCGTGCCCGAAACCTGTCCAAAAGGTAGGTATATTGGACGATCCACGGAGCTTCGTAAGATGATCGCATAGTCAAAAACAATATAAGGCATTATATAAACATTGAAAGTCACCTTTAAAGCATACTGTAAGTAGTTTAAGGTCTTAATCAAAACGTATGTGTCAAAAAGTTATGACAGTTCGAAATGCAAGCTCATAAAATTTTACGACTTCTTATTGCTATATGCGGAAGAATACAGAACTCTGCGCAATATAGCAGGTTCGGACCGCGAGGATAGAGACGGCTATATTCCCGACCATGCATTTGAATATCACAAATATTTAAAAGAAAAAACGTTACTTTACATACTTACTATAAGTATTTTTTTTTTGCATTATTTCAAGAAGCTCTGCGGCAACTTCACTTTTCAACGGTCCGCGCGTGACTGTGAACTAAGAAATGCTTGAGTGGAGTTCAAGCACTTCTTGATTGGGACACATTTTGAGCGCACGTGGTGTATCTAGGGTATTTAATATCGTTGGAGACAGGACAACGGACTTTCCGCTCCAATGGTGCGCCTTTCTAGGGAAGCGACAAACTCACACAAGTGCGTATCCAGGGGGACGGACGGGGAGAGAATAATGGCTCAATTACACTTGGCCGTTAGCCCGTATTCGAGCGCACGAGAGACATTACTCGAATTCGGGCATCCGAAGCAATATTTACAATAATTTAATACGGGCTGGAAGGTGACGTGTAACCAAAAGTAAAATTACCCGAACACGGACTTACTCGACTCCGTTCTTTTACACTTAGTCGTTTACCCGAATTCCATTGGCACCCGTATTCGGGCCCACGACCAAGTGTAATCGTGCCATAACAGTACGCTTCGGTTGTGTTTCATTCGATTTAATTCGATTTTAAGTGGCCCGAGGCGCCAGATAGTTGCACCTTTCATCGGTTCATACAATTTTAAAAACGATATTTATTGTAAGCAGAAAAAGGTTAACCAATATTGCTGTTAACATCAGATATCATTTAATTGAATAATTGTGAATTTCTTTGTAATTATGTGTGAAAAGATACGAAAAGGATGTTTTAAACGCTTTTGCCAAATAACCCGCCCAGTGGAAGCAAGTAGAGCCGCCTAGAATTAAAAAAAAGGCCGATAGTAGGTAATTAATGCTTTATTACCACATACATAAATCACATTTTAACAAAACATCAAATATATTTACAAAAAAAAACATCCTCTCTAAATCGTCACTTGGCAATATTTGGTATGAATGTCGCAAATTTTCATTGTAAGTTGTGTTTTGCCCTACAAAACTGTTTGATGAAATGCAAAAAGTAACAAATATAAATAAAACATCATTGTTAAAATATTGTAACAGTTACAAATTGAATTTTCTACTTATTGCAATAATACCATCACTACCACATCACGATTTATATGCTAAGTGTATAGCATCATTCCTCTAGAATTAAATAGCTGTTTTCATATAAAAATTAACACTATCAGTACTATATCTATATCTTTGTCCCTTCATTTTATATCATTTTTTAGTTGCAAAGCAACTGTTTACAAATGGAACTTTCCATATTACTTAATACATAATACCTATATTATGTAAAAAGTAATTCCAACCACATTTCGCAAACACTTCAGTTCGTTATATGAAAATATTTCCACATTTTGATACTACAAGCACTGATCAGTTTTAATTTATACATGAAATAGATTTTAAACAATAATTTATTCACATCCTAACACTTGTTGGCGAAATCGACACCGGTCTTGATGTTCTTGAGTAGTTCGGGGATGGCTGCCTTGAGCAGTTCTTGCTCGTAAGCATTGAGGGTTCCGTAGCCAAGGTTCTTGGCCACACCATTGGGGCCCAACACTACGGGGTTGGCGAAGTAAGGTGCCTCGGTCAAGTCAGACTTAATGTAAGCGCATTCCACAACGTTGCTCTCACCCTGAAATTATTAAAAGAAAAATATTCATTCAGCAACTTCTGGTTGTACAAAAAAAATTAACTATATGTTATAGAGTTCTCACGAAGCTCGCGTCACCGGGCCCCATTATTATGTGTGATAAGGATTGACCGCGACGATACTACGATTTGACTTGGCAAGCATGGAAACAAGCACTCCAAACAGCATTTCCACGATCAACTGACTTTGTAAATAGACTGGAAGAAATGTTAGCAAGAACGAAACTGGAATCGGAAACGATGACTAATTACTATCACGCGAAATTGTCTCTACTAAAAAAAGGTAAATTTAAAAAATCAAAAAACCCGACTGCTTAATTATTCTTCAAATAAAAACTGAAAAGAAAAAAACAAGTCCAGTAGTCTATAATTCTGTTAATAAGGAACAAAGCTACTTTAACAGTCGGGACCCATTAGATATTCAAGAATACATAATATTTTTCAACAGTGGGTCCCGACTGTTAAAGTAGCTTTGTTCCTTATTAACAGAATTATAGACTACTGGACTTGTTTTTTTCTTTTCAGTTTTTATTTGAAGAATAATTAAGCAGTCGGGTTTTTTGATTTTTTAAATTTACCTTTTTTATTTCACACTTTTTAGTTAGTATTTTAAGACGCTATATACCGTAGTCTTGTTACTTCAGTAAGGGAATTAATATCGCGGGAATTATTAAGTACCTTGCGTCAGTCTAAAAGATTGATTTATTAAGACATTTAAAGACTTTACCAGGTGGGTCAAGGCTACAGATGGGCCTCAATTTTCGCAAAAATGTGTGAAGTTAAATCAAGTCGTTACATAAATATCTCTAATGTATGTAAATTTTATAGTAAACTAGCACTCACTCAAAAAGTCATCTTTTGTTTATGTTTTTTTAATAGTTTAGCAGTAAATATAAAATTCATTTACTTTTATTCGTCGACTATTTAAAAATGGCAGTGGCTGCATTGTCATGTCAGTGCCGGACGTCTAAGATTGTGATATACACAAATTCAGTGTCAGTCCCTAGTCTCATAATTTGATATACCTACATAATTCACAGAAACCCAATATGAAGATGCCAGAAGTTAACTTCAAATGTTTTTAATCACCCTATATACAATACCAATCAATGACGTTTATGTCGCAGGTTGAAGAAAGAAGTAATTCCCGTCTGTTGTTTTAGACAATGGTGGCAACTGCCTTAGATCACTAAATTAAATAATTATGCAATCACCAAAGCAAAGTTTAATCAAATAATATTTGATTTTGAATTTTTTGAATTTTGAAGAGTACTCCCAGTAGTGCAATCATGACAATTATTTTCCAAATTTTTTTTTGTTTAAAAAAATACCGCATTACGTATCACTGTTAAGTACAAATGCTAAGTAACTTTTACAAATATAATCAAATAAACCTATTACTTACTTTATTTTTAAATCTTTTTCATCAATTAAATACTTATCTTTATAAAGAGGCAAGATTTGTATGTTTGTAACAAAGAATCTGTCAGACTACTGAACCGATTTCAAATATTAATTCATCATAAGGTAGCTACATTATTTATTATAACAGGCGTAGGGTGATGAAAGGGGTAATTTACCTATAAAAATCTACATTATTTACTTTGAATTTTGCAGAATTATTACAAAACCAATATTATCGCGAGCTGATTAATAAATACAGCGATTCCAATAAGTATGTACTTACTAGCGAAAAATGGGTTATTTGTCATTATATTAAGTAAACCTTTTTTGTAACCTTAAGTAATATCGTTAAAAAAAAATTAAAAACAGTAAAATTCTGAGTTTTTCATTAAAATTCAATAATCATAAATACCTATTATGATAATATATTTTTCATCATTTAATAAGAAGGAACTGTATCACAGTTTTAATGTTAGTACTTCGTATAGGATCAGATACTGCGAATACCCCATTTTTTTTTCTTATACATAGTACAACGCGTTATCACTTTGTCATCGTTGTAACTTTTTAAATATTTGTCAAAATGACATAGTGTAAAAAGCAAAGTTTATCGTCTTTAAATATCAAAAGCGATTAAAGTATTTGTTTTGATAAAAAATGATTTGTTAATACAAAATGTGCATTTTGGAAATAGATATCAAATAATATTTTAGTTTTGATTCACTATTTTAGCGGTAATGACTTACACATTAAAAATAGATATATGGTGTCACGGACTTTTTTTTAGAACTATTTAAGAGATACATTTCCACTCTACATTACATTCATGTAACTTTTATTGTTTTTGCAGTGCAGGCCAAAATGGCTCGCAGATGGGACATTTTTTTCCGTCTTATGTGACACTTATTGCTATATATTGGCCAATTCACTCAATAACTACATAAATTATTATATATATGTAATTATCATATATGAGCTATATTACTGTTAAGTTTCATTAAAATCCATTCAGTATTTTTTAGGTGAAAGAGTAACAAAGATCCATACAAACGTAAGATTGAAATTAAAAACGTAAGTGGTTAATATACAACTTTAAAGCGTTGTAGATCCTAAACAATCATATAAAATGAAAAATGGTGTTAGGAACCTAAATATGATTTTCGATTATCTAGACAGTGATACCCCACTCGACATGTTTTGTCAACTTTTTTTTTTTTACTTCGTCACAATATGGCGCCTAATTTTGCCCATATTGAATTTTGATTACCATCATATCTTTAGTAGCACTTCCATGATTGAGACGAATCGATTGATGTATGAATCATCAAAATCGGTCCAGGCGTTTGGTCTCTAGTGTGCCACAAAAGTACAAACATACATATATAGACTGTTAAACACATAACCCTGTCTGCGCGTCGCGCTTCGCGCTCTTGCATTGCGCAGCCGGGTAAAAAGTGCAAAATTTATGGAGAAGCGGCAATTTCTTGCATCATAAGAGGGTTACCACAGGATCTTCAAGCGAACGCCAAGGCATACCAATGTGATACGCCTGAAAACCAATATTTTGGCTACTTATCATCACTCGTAAACTACAACGGAGTTGAAGCTGCTGGCACCACACGGAAGTCTACTTGGAGAAGAGGTACCTACGGGAACAATAACAACTATTGCAACAGCAACGAACAAAGAATTAAACAAAAGTTAAGACTACCCAGAAGTAATTAGTTAATGTAAAACAAAAAACACAAGGCATGGCGGTCAATCCTTATCACACATAATAATGGGGCCCGGTGACGCGAGCTTTGTGAGAACTCTAAACATATATCTGTATAAAGTTCACACTTCCTCATTAATAAATTTTAGGGACGATCTTTGTCATTAGACATTTTATAATAATTTAACAAAAGTTTTTGATGTCTCCTTTTTTATTAAAGCTAAAGAGGTTAGATTTAAATTGGCCACTTTTTTAAGTATACGAAACTGAACAGAAGCACGAAAAACTAGCGAGAAAGTATTCGTATCGCCATGTTCAATTTTCTATGTAAAAAGCTAGTTTGTTCATAAGGTTATTTTGTCCGGTAGAGGCGCTGCTTAGTTTCCATAGAAACTTTGACTGATCCGTACCCTTAGCACGAACCAATATCGAATTCGCAACGTTTGCGAGTCCGAAATGTCACTGTCAAATGTGTACTGATTTTTAGGTCTCGTTACGTACTTTGTGGCGCTGCTGTTCAAGTTTCCATACAAAATTTGACATTTATCACTCACAAACTATTCGAATTCGATAATGGTTCGTGTTAGGGGTACTGTATTTGTATGGCCAACGTCAAATTTTCTATGGAAACCAAGCTCTCTAGCTACGACCCTGGCAGGACATGCCCATCCTTGATCTAAATAAGAATGATAAGGAATTATTAGGAATGATTATTAATTACCTTGAGTCCTCGCAGCACGGAGCCGGCGAGGCGGGCGCCAGCATACGCCATCGACAAAGTGGCGGAACCGCCGCCAGCCTTCGCTTTCACCACCTGATTTAACATATTATAAATAAATATCTCTAACATCATCATCATCAGCCTATTAATGTCCCCACTGCTGAGGCACAGGCCTTCCCTAATGGATGGAAACGGGAGATTAGCGTGCCTTCCGAAGCACGGAGGAACTCGAGATAGAAGATTTTTGGTCACCCATCCAATGACCGACCACTGCGAAAGTTGTTTAACTTTAACGATTTTTTTTCTACCATCCAATAAGGGCATATCGTATGAAACTCTAATTACATTACCACAATTTCTTTGTTCTTCTCTAGCATTTCGTATTACATTTATTAATGTAGTTAAAAAATTCAGACCTCATCAACAAGCATCAGTGGTTCAGTGGTAGAAAGCTCACCTCTACTCGGCAACCGGGTTCGAATCCCAGCTGAAGGACTTTTGTGAAGAGATAACTTCTTATTGGAGGGTAAATCCCTTCTTTACGTAACGCGTTACGGCGCCAGTCTGTCTGGCTTCCTTTCGCCGCGAAAGGAGATAGACGCTACAGCCCGCCCAGGTACCAGAGGCGTGACCCCAGACCCCTCACACATTAATCCCCACTATCACCCACCGATCCCCACAATCCTCACCCACCAATCCCTTTACCAATTTCACCCTCCGGTCCCCTATTCACCCTCCAATCCCCTTTTCACCTACCAATCTACTGTGTTCAATTAGTTTAACAATAACAACTTTCTGATGTAGATACTCCTCCTCTCTCACTCTAACCCGCAGCGCCGCTTAGATTATTTTAAGTTATCACTTCTATCGTTCGTCCCAAGACGCTTTCACGCCTTTTTAATAATATTATAACTGTGGAAAAAACAAATGCAAACAAGAAGAATCCAAGTCTCACCTCGGTACCAGCCTCCTGTATCCTCTGAGTGAGTGCCTTAATCTTCTCCTGGTCCGACAGCTTGACAGCAGGCTGACTTTGGCTCAACAAGGGTATGATGGTGACACCCGAATGTCCTCCTATGACGGGGATGGTGACGCAGCAAGGGTCCACGCCGTTGATGTCGCCGATGAAGGCAGCGGCGCGCACAACGTCCAAAGTGGTGACGCCTAGGATGCGGGCTGGGTCGTAAACACCCGCCTGGGACAATTGTAATGTATTAAAAACGTCACATAAGTTTCGTTTAGTTGAAGTGAGAGGGAGAAGAGAGGCGGCCTCCGTTTCGGTTGTCTCGCTCTGATCATTGCCTTTTTCAAGTGCAACAAAATGCTAATAAACCGTTTTATAGTAAGTGCGTTTTTTTCCTTTTTGGCTTAACAAGTCTTCACTTAATAATACATGAACTACTAGTTTCCCCATAGAAACATTCATACTTTTCAACCCCCTTTAAAGATGATTTTCTGGATAAAATATATACTTTTGTCTTTAACTGGGATTCAAACTCTCTGTGCCAAATTTCAACAAATCAGTTATGTGGTTTAAGCACAAAGAGGTAACAAAAAGACAGAGAGACACATGTTCATATTGATAAAATTAGTTTGGAATATGGATTATCTTAAGGTTATTGAAAACTGTCCAGTTTTGCTAACTGAGTTTAAACTTTATTTTGCTAGTTATTGAGTTCACAATTGATTACGATAGTTTTACATTTTGTGGTATATTCATGATTCGTCTAGTCAGCACATCTTTGTTTATTGATGTACATTTAATATTAGTAAGAAAAACTAAGCAGACAGCACATATTATTATCTTTTTTGATCTATCTTAGCTAAATGACTTTCCTACTGTTTAATTTGATATTTAAAATGATTATAACATAAAACAACCAGTTCAAATTGTAGAATCAATTCATTTACCTAACTTATTTGTTCTGAATATCGCAAGTAGTGTTTACATTAAATTGTAAATCTTGTTGATGTAAACTTATCACAACTATGTCAATACTCAACAAGTATCAAGAATCATAGTGCCTATACTAATTATTATGCTATTTCCATCAGTATTACTTTATATAACTATGCAGTTTATCTTAAAAATTGTCTGGAAAGCGACTGTTATCAATAAGATAAGTTGGCTTAATATTACGTCAGCAGACTATTACATATAGACAATTTTATAGCAGATCCATCCATTCTTCAATAGATTTATTTAGACGCATATCTTTTCTGGTTAGTAATAATGTATAGACTATGCTTTCTAGATCATTAAACAATATTGCACGCAATTTAAAGCATATGTTCACACCTCACTATATTATATGACTTGCTATACACTCTATATTAAATAGCGCATTAATATAGCGAAGTTTAGTTTTTAAAACCCAACTCCTGTAATAGGGATGATACGTATTTTTTTTTGCTTCGTTTATCGGGTAGATTATCAAAAAGTATTGGACACGTATTTTTTCTTTTGTCACATAATATAAGCATTGCAGAGATATATTGATTTGAAAAGTCGCATGACGTCACGTTTGAGTACACTTATAAGGGAAAATTCACTCAAAAGTGACGTCACGAGCCCCTACTCCCAAACTTTGACACGCTATAACTTTGTCATTTTTTGGTTGATTGCCCAAAGAAAAAATACGTGTCCATTATTTTTTGATCATCTAACTGACGGACTAAATAGAATTTCGTTTACTGTACCCCGTCATCACCCCTATTTTACAGGTTCAGAACAATGTCTGTGATGTTGTCCAATATTTATGCATCATTACTATAATCTGCTGTCCTCAAATGTATTTAAAATTAAAATTCTTCTTACCTTCTTCATGATTTCTGAAGCGATGGGTACCATGGAATTGACGGGGTTTGTGATGATGGCCATGATGGCTTTGGGTGCGTTCTGAGCGACACAGCAGGCGAGGTCGCGGACGATGGAGGCATTCGTGTTGAAAAGGTCGTCGCGAGTCATGCCCGGCTTACGGGGAACTCCCGCTGGGATCACTACAACATCGGCATCTGAGGGAAATAATTATCTTTTTACACAACCGTACAAAAGGGCAATACAATAATAAGAAGTGTAATTTGGTGCAGTCTGCTGTAAGGTAGAAGACTTGTGCACTGATTGAAGTAAAATCTGCTTGTAGCTATTATATGAAGCTACTTTATAATTGTCCTTGAGAATTAATTATCTTAAAGTTATTCAAATGTATTAGTAGCTGACAATACACATCAGGAACTTCAAAACTAATGAGTAAAGTTTGGAATTGGTTGGGAAAATCTGATATCTATGATCTACGAATAATCAGACTATTAGTTATTTAATAATGACTGTACATTAATTTTGATAAAATATTTTATTTTTAAGCATATAGGTGTGTAATTTTGGATAAAAGCTGTATTGACCACTAAAAAGAGAACTAACATGTGCTAATGCACACTAATCTCATGTATAGTTAATACAAACTTACTCCAACATTTATATAAATTCACACCTAAATATTAATTTAAAAAATCAATAAAAGCTATGTTCGTCCAAGCATTGTGTACATGCATTACTGTAGATTTTTATTGGTAAGTTGCATAAAATGTATGCTGTTAGAATATTGAAAGAATATTACAATATGTATTCATGTGAGATATAATTTCTATAATACATTATGTCAGCAATATATTCAACTTTTCTAACATTTTTGATAGTATTAAATCTAAAATTTACTAGAAAATATGCCACATGGACAGGCAGAAGACAGGACTGGAACCGACACCCTTCGCTATCCAGGCGAAAGCACTGACCATTATGCTACCACAACCCTGATGGCTGTGTCGAATTCTTTCTAGCCATTCTTAAGCTGCAAGGCAGCACCATCTTTTCGTATTGTTGGTAACCCACAATGTCAAATGAATACCTTTACAAGTATTAAACACTTGATAGAAGAAATAGCAAGTATAGTTAAATTTTTATTTTTTAAGCATGTAAATGCTAGATGTTTAAATTTTAAAGAAAATTTTACTAGAAAAAAATCCACACAGACCAGATGTTTTATGAAACATGTATCTGCTAGATGTTTAAATAAAAACCAGTATGCGTGGAATTTTTTTTAGTAAAAATTTCTTTAGATTTAAACATCTAGCACTACACATGCTTAAAAAATCAAAATTATAACTATTTTTCATAGGTTCATATCTGGGTGGAGATATTTCTAATATATTCAAATATGGTTTGTTATTTTAGATTTCCTTGACACAGTGCAGTAAAACATTGTAAAATGCAACTTATGAATGCTAGAGGTATGATTATAAAAGAATTTTATCTAGAACATACATAGGTAGTTATATGAATCTCAAGAGATATAACAACCTACAATTTTTAATTAATTGTTTTGAATTACCAATGCAAGAACAAACAAAGACAAATAACATAAATAATTATGTCAATTTGTTGTTACCAGCATTACAGTGGTGTTATCAGACTAACAAATGATGTGTTTTTTAAACATATAATTTTCCATTACCAAAATAACCACTTACATATTTAGTTACAAAGTCAAGGTCAACAGCATTGGAATAGAATTTATAATTTTTGTTAATATTTCCATATTACGTTGTCACTGATCCTTATATATATTTTACACATGGGTATAACACATGCACAAATAAGACTGCATGAACGAAGCACTATTTAAAGGCACAAACTATTGACATTGAACTCAAAATGCCCGAGTGTTATGTAACCTGTGCAAATATTTTTTAAGGTTAAATGTGCAAAAGAGGTTGGCATCAATAAAGTATGGTACCTTTGATGGCAGCTGGCAGCTCTTCTGGACCCTTGTAGCCCGTGACCTTGGCTGGGGTGTCCATGTGAGATAAGTCAACTGCGACGCCGGGGGTGACTGGCGCAATATCGTAGAGGGCCAACCTAGTGACCAGCGGATTCTGCTTGAGGAGCAAAGCCAGGGGCTGGCCAATTCCACCAGCTGCACCAGCTACTACCACTTTGTAATTCATCTGAAAATTATACAAGTTTCCCATCAACTGCCTTCATAACATGGTTCCTATGGAATTTGAACTCTTGAACTTGATATAAAACACATGAGGACTAAGCAGGACGGACCCGCTTGGATCTTACCTGACTGCTGGTGGAAAAATTTTTGGCTCCATTTTGGGCTGCAGCAACCGCAACAGGTTTTAAAGCACGGGAGAACATCTTGAAATTATTTCTCACTAAATTAACAGTTTATAAAATAATTAATCAAAACTGGCTGACCCTGCCGACCTTTTGAAGATGACTAAAAAGGTGAATGAAAAGAACTCTTTGGAACTTTGGAATTTAGTCTATGACTCTTTAGATAGGTTTTTAGGGTTCTGTACTCGGATGCCTTACCACTTCTTGTCTTTTCTGTTCCTGTTATATGATATATGACAACAGTAGCAATAGGTATTTTTTTTCTATTTAATGTGTTAGTTTTTGCCGCTATGGCAAAATTTCTTTTTTCATAGTATTTACTTTACCGTAATGATAGCTTGCTGCCACAGGCCAATAAGAGAACAAGCTTGCTGCATTTTAAATGTTAAACCTTGCGCGATAGAACGGAACCCTACTTGTAATAACACAGTCTTTGCTTGTAGAGGAAGGGAACTGTCAATGATTGATTCTAGTGTTGAGTAGGGGCTTTTTTGGCGGGATTTCATCGAGTGCGGTTGGCGTCTTATTTAAATTATTCTTAGATTCGCTCATAGTGGATATTGTGAAATAAAATTGGTGTGGTTTTGTGTAACAACTGTCTGCGTAACTGAAGAATTAGCGGAATCATTAAAATATACGCTATTCCGGTCAAGTGGACGTGAGAATTTTATTGTAGTGTTGACTACCTCACAGAAGCTTATCGAAAAAGCCAACTCGATACATTTCGTGCCAAACACTCCAAGAAACATTAGAATGCGTCACACCGACATTCTAATGTAAAAATAAAAAGAAGATAAATTTAGTTAAAGACTAGGCTGTATGGGCATTGTTCCCTTTGCCTTCCCTAAAACGGGAGAACTTCAACAAAAAAAAAAAAGTGTTGAGTAGGACTGACAAGAGGCGGTACATTTGTCCCGGACATGACGTCAAAATGTAAGAGCGGCTCAAAATTTTAAAATGTACTACTTCACATTAAATGTCAAGTTACTCACTCAATCTTCGTAAGTCTGACTGAGAGAGAGCGAGGCATAACATTTCATTTAAGTCCTCTACGCACTATCCATCTGTATCTCTATCTCTTTTACGTGTATAGCGCTGTCCTGCATGCTGGATCCAGCAAGATTGATAGTGCGTAGAGGAGGTGCTACTCGTGTACACAAACGTAATGTCGAGCTTCTGTACGCCTCAATGTCATATTTGTACTCGTCACTTCAAATGTATTGCCGAGCTTCAGTTCGCCTCGCCTCATTTGAAGTGGGACAGTGTACTGGCATGGTACTGGCTCAGTACAAAAAAGAGGCTACTCTTACAAACTCTTTTTCAAGTCGTGTCCTACCCAACACTAATTGATTCTGCTGGCCAGAATCCTTTTGTCTATGGAGTCCCTAATCTATGGCTAAACTTTAAAATTTGACAGTAGAAAAGAAAAGGTCTTGTGTCCTTTTCATGTTTTATAGAAAAAGAGATGCAATGAATGATGTCATATAAATTTTCTTTTTACGTTCTTCCATTTCAGTGAAGGCAAAGAGAACGACTGCCTGTATGGCAGTTGTTCTCTTTGCTAGTCTTCAGTTTTTTTTTCATTAGAATTTATGGTTGTTAGGCTAGTTGACCCTTTTTGGAAAAAGGTTTTAAATGGTTAATAAATGTTCTATTAGACCGAAAAAAAATGTATTGTATTTTTTTTAAACCTAAAAAGCTACAAATCTTTAATTTTAAAATAGACTTTTCATGGACATACAAAAACGCTGTCGGCCATTTTAGTCTATAGATTGTCTATGCTATGACGTGATTTGTGGTAAACAAAAACTCGTAAACACGTAGAAAATTACTTATAACTGAGTTTATAATAAAAAAAAAACATGATTTCTAATAAATACCACGAAAAATAAAGTAATTATCAATACTGTATTGTACGAGAATATAAAAACACATCCTTGAAGACTCCAGGAAAGTTGTGGATTAAAGTGCCGAAAGAAATTAACCTACGCAACTTTATTACACTTATTCATATGTTGTATCAGTTTTATGTTTATTACTACATTGTAATACTAAATGCACTGTACTTACATAGATGCCTTGTCGTTTCTCTGCTCCGCAGAGCAGAAATCGGGGTTTAGTGCAAAAAATTCACCAACCATCAATGCGTCAATTCTTGGCAGATTTGTGATTTCTGCTTTCACAAAGCCGGCATCCATAATAGGCTAGTTGACTCATGTCGAATTGTATTAAATAAATGTTTATTTCTTAAAGTATTTGGTCTAAGGAACCTAAATATATCGATTTCACTTTATAAAAGCAGAAGATTACTGTAGAAATTAAATTTAAGAAAATAATTTTTAGTCTATACTTTTTAAACACTAAAAACGCTGTTCGCCACATCCGCCATGATTGTGACGTCTCTTTTAGTAAACAACTAAACGTCATTCATACATAACTTTAAAACTTGTTTATTAAAACTGATACTAAATGAAGAGACTTATAATGTTATTCAATGAGTACTTACATCAAAGTGATCTTCGCAAAAATAAATTCTACTATGAGTCGATAAAGTTGCAGGATCACTTTTAGCAAGTTTTAACCAGGTATTGCGTAGGTTAATTTCTTTCGGCACTTTAATCCACAACTTTCCTGGAGTCTTCAAGGATGTGTTTTTACATTCTCGTACAATACAATAATGATAATTACTATATTTTTCGTGGTATCTATAAGAAATCATGTTTTTTTTTATTATAAACTCAGATAGGTTATTTTCTACGTGCTTACGAGTTTTTGTTTACTACCGTCAACGTCATAGCATAGATAATCTATAGACTAAAATGGCCGACAGCGTTTTTGTATGTCCATGAAAAGTCTATTTTAAAATTAAAGATTTGTAGCTTTCTAGGTCTCAAAAACATACAATACATTTTTTTTCGGTCTAATAGAACATTTATTAACCATTTAAAACCTTTTTCCAAAAAGGGTCAACTAGCCTATTTGTTTAGTCAAAAAAAACTAAGTTTACTGTTTTTTTCTTTCCTAAAGTTAAAAGTGTTTTAAGATAAATTTAATCAGACGAAAGAATCCACCTACAGTAACACGCGAATGACATTTAGTTGTTTACCACAAGAGACGTCAAAATCATGGCGAATGTGGCGAACAGCGTTTTTAGTGTTTAAAAAATATAGACTAAGAAATATTTTTTAAAATTAAATTTCTACAGCAATCTTCTGCTTTTATGAAGTAAAATCGATATATTAAGGTTCCTTAGACTAAACACTTTAAGAAATAAACATTTATTTAATACAATTCGACATGAGTAAACTAGCCTAATGCGACTCAGTGCCGCACAATGCCGAATTATGCTGATGCTTAATTGGAACGTGAATTAGTTTTCAAATGCACCAGCAGAGTGCGCTAAGTTCAGTGTTGAAAAAAAAGTCAATGTTTGTACCTTCATCCATACTTATATTTATTTTTTTAACAGTTTGAATTAACTTCATCCAATACAGGTACCTCACAATGGAACTTTTATAAAGCTGATTATTTATCACTTTAAAATGAAATTTATTCAATATTGGAAATGTGTGTACCCAAAAAAAATATTAAACAAATTGGTTCGAATAGGAGGTACCCCGAATGGTATACAGGTGAAATTATACGTTCAATAGAATATAAAGCACGGCTGCATAAAAAATATAAAACCACCAAATTAGACTCTGACTATAAACAATTCGCCGAGTTACGGACTAAAGTAAAACATATGATAGTAGATGCGCATAACCAATATAGGAATTGTATACAAAGTAATCTCAAAAATGACCCAAAATCGTTTTGGAATTATGTCAATAGGGAAGATGCATATATAATATTTATGAAAATTTTATGATTAAAATGTTAAAAAAATATGAAAGAAATGCCACTGCAACGTTTTTATTTTACATAATGTTGTTTTTTAACAATTATTACGAATTAAAAATACTTGAAACGGAACGTATTTTAAAACACCAATCAGCATTTAGTGACGTCAGTCCTGTTATGACAACTTCTTTGAGGTTATGGTTGTTAAAGTAAATATTATTTGATGGGAAAATTTATTGCGTTTTTTTACATTTAATAAAAATGGAAGTTGCGTTTATCAAAGCAGACTCCAGGAATTTACCAAGAGTTAGCGTTGACATGGTTATAACTTTTTTTGTCCAAAGTGCAGAGTTTTTAAGTGTAGAAATGAAAGGGACTATATTACTACGGTATGTAAAAACGTAGTTTATTCGTATTTTATTCAGCGGCTTCTACAAATCTTATGGCGATAATGCAATCTGCTATGTCCAAATTAAAAGAGATGGAAAATTATGTACAGTAAAAGGTCGAGTTCTCCGGAGCATAAACTACGTAAAGAAGGTTATCGTGTTACAGTTATTTTAAATGAAACGCAAAGCTTGGTTCAGTCCTGCCAATGAGAAGATTGTGCCACACATTTTAAACTTTATCTAATTTTCGACGTCATTCTCCAACTGTAAAATTAAAAATATGTTATAGACAGGTTTTGTAAGTATTAGGTAGGTTACTAATGCGTTTTTACGTACAAGCAGATTAATTAAGCATATAACAAGTATATTCGCCGACTTACGTCAAAGTGATCTTCTCAGCATCGAATAATGGTCTTTGGAGAATAATTGTCATTTCTCTTCGCAGCTTGAAACCACTTTTCTTTCAGTTTTGGGTCAGAAGTTCCAGTCAAAAACAATTTATTTGGGAACTTTGTTGAAGTAGATTGGCACAAAACATGAGTCAACACGGCTTTTTTTCGGAATATTAGTGGTATTGTTATGATCACATGATGTTGATGGATAGTCCATTTTAAATTTTTCAAAAAAATATTTCGAAAGTCGAAAAAATATGCAAAAGTATGAAAATTTAAAGCCAGCAACGAACAATTACGACCAGTGAAGGACAGGAGTGACGTCATCGCAACTATAGGTTCGTTTTCGCGCGAAAATTTAAATTGTCAATTTAAAACCGCATTTTTTCCGATAAATCACAATGTTTTAATTTTTTAATATATCTGTGGTTTATTCTACATGGAATTCTTTAAAATGAAAACAAAAATAAAAATATTGCATCTTCCCTATTCTAAAAGAAAAAGTCGTACTGTACAAAAAATTCAGAAAAATGGGGAGTTATTGTGTCGGGATCAGTGTGTTTCGGAGTTCGCTAGATTTTTTTCATTCTGTATATAGTAAACCGAGGGCCGAGTTGAATGTGGACACGGCGATAGAGGAAGCTGGTGGGGATAACGGGGCCGCTCGAGTTCATTTGAGTCATTTGCAACTTAGCGACGTACTCATCGCACTTAAACAACTGAAGCCAAAAAAATCTACAGGGCCTGATGGTATTCCACCCTTTATTTTTAAAGACTGTCGATCTGCACTAGCGTTGCCACTACACTACATATACAATAAAAGTTTAAGTCTGGCTATATTTCCTGAAAGATGGAAAATAACCAAAGTTGTACCCGTTCCGAAAGGAACGGCGGGAACGAGTGTCGAGGGTTATAGGCCTGTAGCTGTACTGTCAACTCCGGCGAAAGTTTTCGAGTCTGCTATACACGGAAGCTTATATCAGCAGATACACTCACAATTGTCGGAGGTGCAGCATGGGTTTAGGCCAGCTCGGAGCACCACTAGCAACCTTGTGGCCCTCATAACAGATATAATACCATCAGTGGACAGAGGAGGGCAAACGGACGCGGCATATTTTGATTTTAAAAAGGCATTTGATCTCGTAAATAATGATGTACTTCTTAAAAAGATGGCGCGGATTGGTTTTACATCACATCTGTTAATTTTTTTTTTGTAGTTACATGGCAGATAGGCAGCAGTATGTCGAGTACGAGGGAAAAAAGTCAGATCTGTATTTTACATGGTCCGAGGTAAGTCAGGGATCGAACCTAGGGCCTTTGGAATTTTTAATCATGATAAATGACTTACCCAATGTAGTGAAGAACTCTAAATGTTTGTAATTTGCTGATGACCTTAAGTTGTCGGCGGATATAGGGAATGTAGGAGATTGTAACAGACTCCAGGAGGACATAGATAGAGTTGTCAAGTGGAGCAAAGTTAATAACTTGCAATTCAATATATCCAAGTGTATGACTATTACTTTTACACACAAACAGAAACCAATAGATCACGAATATAAAATTGATGGCACACCTTTAAAAAGGGTAACAGAAGTTAGGGACTTAGGAGTGAAATTCACAGCAGACTTATTATTTCGAGATCGTTGACGTTTGTAAAAAAGCTTTTAAAACTTTAGGTTTAATTTTACGAACTGTAAAGGAATTTACGAATGTACAGGCCATCGTCGCTTTGTATAATACATTAGTTAGGAGTCATCTAGAATGTAACGCTATGATTTGGGCTCCACACGAACAAAAGTATAATATTATGCTAGAGAGAGTGCAGAATAAATTTGTAAGATACATGTATTTAAAACTATATGGAGTGTATCCCTTTTATCCATTACAATATCCTACATTATTTGTTCTTGGTATGGTTGGATATAGTCAGCTTAGGGTTCGGAGAGAATTGAAGCTAGTTATTTATATTTTTAAGGTGCTTCGGGGTAAGATATTTAATCCGGGCATACTAGGGATGATTAGTTTTAGTGTTCCAAATGAATACATTTGGCGTCGGCGGCGGCCGGGCCTGTTGGTAATTCCTACTGGACGCACTAAATTATTGAGTGAGGCTCCACTGACGCGTGCATTGCGCACAATCAACAAAATTAATGAAAAGATGGACTTATTCGTTTGTGCTCTGAGCGAATTTACAAAACTAGCTGAGTGGATTATAATCGGTTGCAATTAATTATTTTTCCAATGTGTTTGTAAATGTGTATTATAATGGATTTCTTAAATTGATGTATCTATTGCCTTGGGTATATACCTGTAATAATAGATATAAGTATTTGATATAAATAAATAAATAAATAAACTTTGATTGTTTAAAAAAACTATTTAATGAAACGAAAGCTTTATAATTTTTCAACAATAAATAATATTACTAATGATAACATATAAATAAATCAAATAAAACTAGTTTTTACGGGTTAATGCACGAAACTTTATTTATTTATTGACGTTTCGTAGCCTTTAAAATTCTTTTTTGTAATTTTGAGTTTATTTATTTGACCCTAACTACCGTAAACTACCACCGGTTCCAAAATTGGGAGACCTTTCTGAGAGGAACCGGCGAAACAAACTCAAGAGAGGCTTTCTATCTCCTTCTTATGTTAAATTATGCAAACAAAAAGAACTAATAGTATCTGATGGTCTTGCAGTGTGTGCTCGGGGTTGGGATTTTATCTCCTGTATAATAGGTTCCCAAGCTGGTGGTATATACCAACCATCTTCCCTATTGAAATTTGGATATTTTTTGATCTCAATAGCCTCGCGCATCATTCGAGGAACTAACCGCTGCTCAGCTGCAAGGATCTGTGGTTTATCAAATCTAATGTCAAATAAATAAACTCAAAATTACAAAAAAGAATTTTAAATGAAATACTTTATTAAGTAAATTAAATAATAAATTCATACATAGACAATAAAACTTAAAAATCGAACAATGAAATAACCAAACGCTCAATAAAAGTCTTTCGAAGGTAGCTCGACAAATTAAATAAAAGTTTTATTCTGACGACGAAGCCTGTAAAGGCTACGAAACGTCAATAAATAAATAAAGTTTCGTGCATTAACCCGTAAAAACTAGTTTTATTTAATGAGTGATGTGCGTGAAAACCTAAGAAACAAATATAAATAAATCATTTCGATCAATGCCAACTTAAAGAAAAAACACTTGTGTATCCGGGTGGAGTGTGGTTCAGTGAAGAAGTAATACGTGTTTATGTATAATTACACTTTATTCAAACTTAACGGAACACACGAGCGCGGGAATAAATCAAGGCACCGCGCGTGGGTTAACGAGTCCCGGCCAATGACTGACTCGCATCGCGCCTGCGTGGGCGCATGTGGCGCTACCCGAAATGTCCCCCCGCGCGTCCCTTCAACGGTCAATAGCTTCCCTTTGAGCCGGAGGGAGGAACATATACGCCACACACTCCCCCTCGAGTTAATGACAGCGCCCTCGCGCGTTAACTCGCAAAAGACAATACAAAAATAATGCTTAAACTAAACACAAAACAATAAAACTAACATTTACAATTAAAAGAACATACTGGGCAAACATGCTTACGAGGACGACCTCTTTTACGTTTTTGTACAACGGGAGGAGGAGGCGCATCATCACGACTATGAAAACGGGTAAGCTCTGAAATGTGAAACTTACCTAAAATTTCATTAGGGTTTTCTATATTAGCAATAACATAGGCAGTAGGACTAGCTTTATTAACTATCATGTAAGGCCCATCTCTTTTCGGTATAAACTTAGAAGATAACTTTTTATCTGCATTACTTAAAACATGTGTTTTCAATAAAACTTGATCGCCTACATCAAACGACTCTGCAGGACTCCTTGACTTGTCCGCAATCTCTTTGCGACGGTCCTGTTGAACTTCGGCGCGTTCTTTAACTGCTATGAGTGAATCAATAAACCGTTGCAAGTACGGAGTAATCTGAGGTACAAAATTATCCTTATTCAAAACTGCTTCAATATCATGTCGAACCTCAACTGGAGAACGAAGCTCTGGCGAACATCATGTACGCCGGAGTTACACCAGTAGTTTGACACACTGCAGAATTCATTATAAATCTAACAACAGGAAGATGCTGAGGCCAAGAAGAATGATTCGTATCTACCAACCGAGACAGTTGAAATTTCATATCCCTATTTTTACGCTCAACGGGATTTGCAGAAGGGTGGTAGAGTGGAATTAATTCTTGCGTAATATCTAAAATAAACATGCACTGTTGTATAACAGCAGAAACAAATTGGACACCATTATCCGAAACAATGCGACGAGGAAGTCCATAACGAAGAAAATATTCCTCAACTAGTGTACGAGCACACACCTCCGACGTTGCTTCTTGGAGGGTATAAAGCTCAACCCAGCGTGTCGCCGTGTCCTCAACAATTAAAACCCAGCGTTCCCCATTTTTACCCATGGGAAGTGGACCAAACAAATCTATAGCCAAAATTTCACCTCTTTAGCTAAGTACTGGTGTTTGTAACAGACCCTTCGGTTTTGTATTAGACGCTTTGTAACGCTGACATATAATACAAGTCTTGACGTACTCAGATATAGCTTTATGCATACCTGGAAAAAAGAAATGATGAGTGACTTTATTATAAGTCCTATCAACCCCATGGTAGCCAGCTGTGGCCCCATCATGACACTCTTTTATTATTTCTGTACGTAAAGACGAAGGAACAACTAACTGTGTCTATCCGAATCAGGGTTATACCTATATAAGACTCCTTGTTGCATAAAATATCCACGTTCAGACCATCTTTTTGCACCTATTGATTCTAAATCTGATGTATCTTCCAATTCGCTAATAATTTTCTTAAGTTCCAGATCATCGAGCTGCGCGTTACGGAGATCAGCGGGACTACAAGCAGGTAAGTCTAACACGCCCGAACATACACCACACTGATTCTTATCATTTTCTTCACAGATTGGACGACTGAGTGCATCAGCAACTACGTTCGCCTTTCCTGGAGTATACTGAAACTGAATATTATAAGCTTGTAATTTTAATGCCCATCTAACTAATCTACCAGATGGCGATTTCAAGGTAAGTAACCATTTTAATGGTTGATGATCACTTCCTAATATAATTTCATGTCCTTCGATGTAGCCTCTGAAACGCTCTACAGCCCATACAACCGCCAGAGCCTCCCGCTCGGTTGTACTGTAGTTTCTCTCGGCAGGTGTAAGAAGACGGCTGGCGTATTCAATCGGCCGCTCGTTCTTTTCTTCGCCCTGTAATAAGACCGCACCCAAGGCATAATTGCTAGCATCGGTCCTCAATATAAAATGCTTGCTATAATCTGCCTGAATTAGAATAGGCGCAGACGACAAACGATTCTTTAACTCTTGAAATGCATGTTGTTGATCAGCTCCCCAAGACCAGGATTGACACTTTTTCGTCAGACGTGTCAACGGTTCAGCAACCGCAGAAAAGGTGGGAATAAACTTCCTGAACCAGGAACAGGTTTCGATGAACGTTCTAAGATGTTGTAATGACGAAGGTCTTTTCATATTTAGAACCGCACTAACCTTTTCCTCATCGGGAGCTATACCATCGCGTGTAATCACGTGACCAAGGTACTTAATTTTATCACGAACCAACATGCACTTATCTCTATTAGCACGTAATTTGAAGAAACGCAGTCTCTCGAAGACAGCGTGCAAATCTGCAACGTGTTTCTCAAAAGATCCTTCTGTTAGGACCAAAATATCGTCTAAATACGCCAGTATCGTAACATCCATTAAAGAAGCGCTAAAACGAAGCCTATCGATCAACCTTTGGAAGGTGGAAGGCGCATTCTTTAACCCAAAATGCATGCGCTTAAAACGATACGTTCCAAACGGCGTTACAAAGGCGATTTTGTCTCTATCTTGTTCGCGTACGGAGACATACCAATAACTACTACGCATATCTAAAGAACTCATGTAACAGTTCTTTTTAGTAGACTGAAAAAGCTCGTCTATCAAAGGCATAGGATAGGCATCGGTCTTAGTCACCGCATTGAGTCTTCTGTAGTCTACACAGAAACGGACCTTTCCGTTTGATTTGGGTACAAACAAGGCCGGAGATCCCCAAGCAGACTCACACTCCTCTATAACATCCTCAGCCAACATCCTATCAACTTCAGCTTTCATGACCTCCTTCTTAGCTGGTGTTAACCTATAAGGCGGGACAGCAATAGGTAAGTGATCGCCAGTGTCAATAACATGCTCGGCGAACGGAGTCGGGTCTCCCCCTGGCTCAAAGATATCTAAATTGTCAACAATAACACGGGCAAGAACATCGCGTTGTTCTCCACTAAGCGAAGTCGCCTCGTCATCCCGAAGTACATCTACAGCCGCACATGAAGACGGACATGACACTTTCTCAAATCGCATCACAAACTTCTGCTGGCTATTTTCAGCGAAGTGCCAGCTGTTATTGCCAAAATCAAATACTAAATTAAACTCTTTTAAAAAAATTATACCTAAAAGGCTTTCGTTATTATCTGCATCAGGGAAAATTAAAAATGGAACACGGTTTGTTTTATGTTGAAGTGTCACCTCTACTTCAGTGGTAAGTATACACATTTCCCTACGAATCCCATCCGCCAATTTAACAATTTGCGTTGACGGCACTAAAGGATAACCTAACTTTTCCAGGAGGGCGTGCAGCGTGTGACCAGCGATGCAGCTTCGGGCTGCTGAATCTACTAACGCGGTGCCATGGTATCCGGAAATAATAATATTCAAAATAGGACGACGAAAAGATGACGTGCAAGACATCTGATTTGATTGACTATAAAATGTACAATCGATATTATTACTATCATTGTAACAATTATGATTATCAACATTTTTACACATACTATTTACAATATTATTTATACAATTACTATTTTCAACAGTTTTCAAATTATTGTCAAATTCCCTATTTATATTATTAATATCTGCAAAACAATCATTTTCATTCCAATTCTGATTATATATACAGCTTTTATTTTTCCCCTTATTATTTTTAACTAAACGGTTTAACACTTATCCGATAATCAGTTTTATTACTACAACAACATTTGTTAAAAAAAACATTACCAAAAATCCCCTGCGGCACGCACAGGGTTACCTCTAAAAACGTTATCACAGTTATCAGTCGTTCGCTGCGCGGTCGTAGCGCAAGCGTAAGCGCTACGCTCGGGAGCTGGCGGCAACGTTTGCGGCGACCGTAGCTGAGAAGTTTCCATCGGCAGCGGCACGTGCGCACGCCGGCACGCTCGTGGCGTTGGCGCGCGATTCTTAACATTATGTGACGCCGAGACGGAATAGAATGCACTTTTAACGTTATGTGAATTACATTTAGCACATTTTGATTTAATAATATTAGGGGCTCCACAGCCATAACACTTTATGTCATTTTTCACTCCATCACTTCTAGCATTTAATTTAGTACAATTGTCTTTACTGTGACCTACGCGTTTACAGTATACGCAGAAAAGTCGCGGGCTCTGCACTCGAAGCTATTTCTTTCGGCACCGTAATTGAAGACGACGCCGGCGGCGGCGTTTTACTAGGCCGCGGCGGCAGCGGTGACGACGACTTTTGCAGGCGCTGCGACGACTTAGCATCCATACTCGAGTTTCCCTCTCTGAGCGAGTCTTCTATATTTCTTGCCCTCCGCAAAAGTTCTTCAAAACCAACGATGGCATCTCACTCTAAGCGTTTTCTTATTCTTCTGTCTAGGAGGCCAAATGTCATATCTAATTCTACTTTTTGCGAAAGATCACCCCTCGGCAGTTTAGAAAACAAGGCTCTTATTTTGGCCACAAAAATACCTGTATTTTCGTTACCTTGACAAGCATTGAAAATTTCTTTGTATATCTTGTACGGTGGCTTGTGCTCTCGGAACGCACTCGTCAGGTTTGTCAGTGCTTCCGACCAGGTATTGGTGGATGGCTTTATTCCCTGCCACCACAAAGCAGCTGAGTCGGTTAGTAACATCGACAAACCACGAAGGGCACTCTCATCCGTGATGTTACAACAATCTTTGTACGTGACGATAGCATCGATGAAATTTTCTACTGGTTCGCTACCGCTGAATCGCGCTGTGCACTGAGCGAAATGCGCATAATGGCCGCCATTGAGCGCGGCTAACACACTTGACGACATTGTATCACTCGTAGTAGCAGCGGGTTGCGGCGTCGACACCCGAACTTCATTCAAAAGTTGTCTACAAAATTCATTTTGTGACTGTTGCAAAGTCATCATCATGCTGGTGAACATATCCTTGGACATCTCAACTCTAGTCGCGTCAGCAACGAGAACGTCTTCCTCTTCCTCGGCGTCCCTTTGTCTTGTTCGCGGCATTGTGAAACAAAACAGTGACGATGCAAAAGTCATTAAACAATACTTGTTTACTTATTACGCGCACGAATACAACCACGTCGGGCTGCTAAAGTACGTGAAAACAATAGTTACGAATTTATGTATACAACGCAACACTACACCCCATGCCGTAAAAACGTTCACTGTCCATGTAGGCTAGGCAGGTACCAAGCCGGCGCAAATCTGTTTTTACGCGTCGGACAACGGCTACCGAAACACAACCTACGAATGGTTTCCCACAGTTCTCAAAATGTTGATACCTTTCAATGCCTTGGCACTAATGTAACTTATGTGCTTGTCAAATTTTAATTGGTTGTCAATAATTACACTTAAAAATTTATGCTCATTTACTATATATGGATTTTATTATTGTCAAATGAAATGTCAAGGTTATTACTATTTTTACTAAAAACTAAGGCTGAACTTTTTTCTGGACTAATTTGTAGTTTCAGCTCATTACAATAATAGGCATGTAATTGTTCTAAAGCAGTATTGATATTGTTTTGAGCTATATTTGTTTTGATTAATGCTGTACAGTAGCAAGTCATCGGCAAATTGTAAAATATTTACATGGTCAGTATTTACATATTTTAATATTTCTGAGGTGTACAAGTTGTACAGTAATGGAGAGAGAGTTGCACCTTGCATTGTACCTTTGTTAGCATTTCTTGGTCCATGCAGCCTATTATTGAATTTGACATAAACTGTCCTATTACTGAGAAATGTATAAAGCCATTTTAATGTTTTACCAGGTACTCCAACATCATGGAGAACCTGTATTAGTTCTTGTATATTTACATTATCGAATGCTCCCTTTACGTCTCAGAAAACACATATCATGTTTGAGTGACTTAATTTTACTTGTTTAATGTCATGTATAAAAGATACAAAACTTTCAGAGCAACTCCGACCTTTCCTGAAACCATGCTGAATTGGTGGAATTATGTTATTAGACTCAGAAAAGTAGTCTAAGCGTAGCTTCAACATATTTTCAAAGAGCTTTCCCAAACATGATGATAGTGATATGGGTCTGTAGGATAAAGCAATGTTATTAGGTTTATTTGGTTTTAATACTGGTATAACACATTGTGTTTTCCAAGTCTCAGGAATAATGAGTTCTTGCCATAATTTATTGTAAATTTTAAGTAAAATATCCTGTGCTTTAAAATGAATTTTCTTAATCAAAATATAGGGTAAATTATCAAGACCTGGTGTAGTCTTTTCTACTTTGTAATGATATGTTCAGTTCATTTTTCGTAAATGGCTGATTCAAAAAGGAATTTATTTGATTTTCTTTCGAATTATTAAATAAACTTACAAGTCTTTCCTCATCATTGTCAGAATAGTCTGATAAGCTGTCTAAGAAACTTGGAACTCATTCATCTTCAAAATGTTTGTTAAGACTGTTACCTATCCTTTTAAACTTTTTAATGTATTTCCATATTCTAGAGATAGGTGTTAATCTGTCAAAGCTATTGCATAGATTTTTCCAGGATTCCCTACTTTCCTCTTTTATAGTTTTTTTCTTTAGAGCATCAAGTTTTTTATATTTAATAAAATTGTCTATAGTTGGGTTTGATTTGTAAAACTTTAATGCCTCTTTGGATTTTTTAACAGCAGCCGCACATTTTGGGTTCCACCATGGAGCTGGCTTTCTGTGGATGTTAGGGGTGGTATTCTGTTTACATTTAGGAATAGTGATATCTCTTAAGTTATTTAAAATATTTACAAAATTATTATACAATTCTAATGCAAAACCATTTTTAGTATCCAATTCAGAGAAACAGGTTTCAGACATTGTGTAGAATTTAAACCAATCAGCTTTACTATAAATAAATTTTCTTCTACAGGTGAAACTTCATACAAAAATGGTTGAATGAAGGAAAGTTGGATAGTGGTAACTACCCATGGGGTCAGAATGGACATGCCAATCGCAGTGGGCTATTGAAGAAGTAGCAAGTGCTATGTCTATTACTGAGGCTTGTCTATTGGTTATGGTTTACAAGTGGTTGGAGAGCCATCATTTAAGATGCATAGATCAAAGTCATCTAAAATACTATAAAAACTATTGCCCCTATTGTTACTACTCTGACACCCAAAAGCTATGTGATGGGCATTAAAGTCACCCATGATAATGCATGGTTTAGGAATACTGTTTATTATATTATTTAATTTATTATCAAATCGAGTACTGTTGGGTGGACAGTATACACATAAGATGGATATGTCACCTGGCTGAGTTTTAATAGATATACCTACATTTTGTATAGACTCATAGAAATGAGTATGTAGTATTGTGTATTTCAAACCATATTTGACTAAAATGCCCATACCATTGTCTGTTTTGAGAATTTTTGTAAATAAAGTTGTAATTAGGAAAATTAGGAATATTGGAGTTGTTGCTGGCCAGGTTTCATTTAATAAACAAATATCAATATTTTTTTTTGTTAACAGCATTTGCAGAAAAGGTTTTTTACTCTGTAAACTTTGTATATTAAATTGAACTATTTGTAAATAAGTATCCATTGAACTAAATGTGATATAAATATTTCTTTAATTTTCTTAGAATTTAAGGAGGTTTGTTCTTTTCTATTACCTAAAGATACTAAACATTTAACTATCGCATTAAGTATGATTTCATTACTTGCTATCTGATTAATGTCAAATTCACTAGATTTCTTATTTTGGTACACAAGTTGGGGTATGTATTTTCATTGACTGGTGGGGGTGTCACACTCACCACAGTGGCATAAGATTGCTGCGAGTATTTTTTCTTATTTTCCTCCATTTTCTTCATTCTGATAGGACAGTCTCTGGAA